TAAACTTTTCACAATGGATGACATGAAGCTGCTTGTTGAGCAATTGGACCCTTGGGGGTCAGTGACATGCTGTGCATATTCTGAGAGGAAACAAATGAAAGTAAGGAACACCCTCTTTCCCCATAGAAGGATAGAAGAATAGGATGGAGCCATTAACTACTTTAATATCCTAAGAGACATTCAGCAGTCGCTCTTGAAATTTGCTAGATTTCTATTTCACTAATGGGTCCAATTTTCAATTTGTTCTTCCAGCTTTGTGTAGCTTGGGAGGGGCGGTGAGGATGATTAATGTTGGGACATGTATGAAAAAATGAGATGAGAGAAGAAAAACAGAATGAAAGACGTGTAATGGAAGCATTGTTTAATAACACCTTTAATATCTTTAACCTTTCGGCCACATAATGTACAGTCAATTCACTCTACAGTATATTCTGTGAAGCGCTTTGAGATGTCTCGAAGATCTGATAAAGCACTACATCAAATGCAAGGATTATTGTTATTAATATACTCTGTTTTATAAATAAGCGCTTCCCAAACTGTGAACAAAGAAATGCATCTGATAGTATGCTATTGGGCCTCGCTGTCAAAGGTTCAATCTCTGTTCTACCTAGATAATTTCTGCTGGGATACACAAAGTTTTGTAAAACCCTATGCTGATTTCAGTGAAACTATGAATCTAGTGTGGCGTTGGATCTATTGCTAATCAAATGCTGAGCCAAGGCAACAGCGGACTTCAGCACTGACGTTTGTCCTATTTTGCTCAATTCCAAGTCCTATGGTCTGCAGTAAATACTATTGATCTCATATTTCAGTTGTTCTCGGTTAAAGATTACGGTTGAATCGGTCCACATAAAGGTGAAAATGTGTTTTTAGAGATGAATGAGCAATTAAGCCAGGGCGCAGTAAGTGCTCCTCTTACTGGCTGTGTAATGAAATGGCACAAACACCAAATTGCATTGAAAATTAAGTAAAAAATATTTTTCTACAGGTTATCAGAAAAACTCAAGTGGAGAACAAATTGAACCAAAAAAAACCTATAAAAATTCCCACAGACTGTAAATATATGTTTGTTAGAATTGAGCATTAAGACACTTAAGTTACACAATGCACTGAAGAATGGGTAAGAAAAGTGTACAATAGAAAACAGGCAGAAGGGAAGTGAACTTTTGAAATATTGGTAGGTTGTCTTTCCTTGCCTCCGTCAAGACCTGTCTAAAGACCCTCCTCTTTGACTGTGCCTTCGATCACCCTCTTTCACCCTCTGCCCTCCACCCTCCCCAATCCTGACCCCCAGCTTGGGTCTGCAACACTGATTGTCCAGCACCTTGGGATGTCCTCCCGATGTGAAGTGAGCTATACAAATATAAATTTGTTGTTGTTGTTGTGTCATCCCAGCATGTTTGAGAAGCTTGCAGCACATAATTACCATTGAAGCAAACACATGATCCGGATTTCAGAGGATGTAGAAATTGTTCTGAGTACATGGTCATTCATCTGATTATCTGATAAATTACAACTTGTAATTTATATAGAACCCTTCACATGGGGTAGCATCCCAGAGCACTGATTACCACATCACCAGAGTAGGGACTCATGCAAGCATGTATGATATCCACCCTAGAAATATACAACAGGAAAATAAAAGTTTAAAGGAAGTACTTTTCCCTCGGTCTCAAATCTGGATTATATATTTACTAAAGTCTATTTTTGTACTATCTTAGTAACGATAGGATATGGGCAACAATGTAAGGATGCAACACAAACTTTACAGAATTACTTAGAACATTCATTACACACAAGAGGTGAAGACTGTATTATTTGAATCATGTTTCTGACAGCAGGATTTAGTGATGACAATATTCATTTCTTTACAGTGAGCATTAAAATAAATCACCCAAAAACGGACTGAAATAAACATAAGGATACAGAAGGATGCCTGACATGTAACAAAAGAGTGTCCCGAAAATGTATGTAAGGTATGTATGTAAGGTATGTATGTAAAATATGCGTGTACGGTGCATATCGGGACGCCTTCTGAAAGCGGGAAGTGAACCTTATCAGGGTGTGTGCAGATGTGCACACGGGGAACTTCCAACTGTGTTGAAGGGAGCATTCCCCAAAAACGTGTGCATGACCTGCATGCGGTGAAGGAATGTACAGTAAACAACAGAATTTTTTTTATCGGGATAGCGGGAAAAAATTATAACAGAAGATGTTGTAGGTTGTGTTTGTTTTGGATTTCTGTTGTAGCAAATATATTTATAAATAAATATATATTTTCAAAAAAAATTAAAATAAATAATTAGAACTTATTTTTCCCCCAAATGCTGTTATTTTCTGTGATTTCTTAGCACAGGTTGTTGCAAGGCTTCCCAGTGAGTACCATTAATTTTTTCAGTTAAAACCGCAAGAACTTACTGAGTTGAGAGAGTTAGATTATACAGTATTCATTTCTCTCTGCCCACGAATCACACTGAGAACTGACAAAACCCATTTGAGTGATGGAGGTGAATCTGATTGAAAGAGACTTCAGTCCTGAAGATATTGCCTTTGGGGTGAACAGTCAGGTCATTTGCCTGTTTGTTTACCCAAGTGACTAATGGGCAGCAAATGTTATTGATTCATTTATTTCCTTCGCTTAACTCCTGCACTTTCAGGCCATTTACTACAACTGCCTGATCTCCAATTATCAGAACAGCAGGGTGATTTGGGCTGAAGATATCTCCACAACGATCACCAGTGGCACTAACTAAATAATCACAATGATGTGGAAAAAATTTAAGGTGGTTATTTTGCCCAGCCCCAGGGAATTCCCTTCTATATGACACTTCTGCTGGAAGCCCTGGTCACAAAACATTTGGACTTACCCTAACCAAGATAAAACACAAGAGATGTGCCATCACTGAAACTGGAATTTGTGGCTTTCTAGTGAGAAGTGAATACTTAACTGCCTGAATTACTTCACTGCTTTCTGGTTGTTATTATGTTTAGCAATCCAAAATACAGCACTTATTTGCAAATAAGGCCTAGCTGTTGAGAATCAAATGAATATTAATGAGTATAAAACCAAGTACTGACTGAAAATCATGTGCAATAATCTTGCTGGAGCTCAGAGAAAATAAAATGCAGCATATTGATGCACTGATCTAGTGCACACTGTATATTAGAGTTAACAACAACAACTTAGATTTATATAGCGCCCTCCACGCCGGACGGCGTCTCAGAGCTCTTTAAACTCAACTTTAAACCTAACTCAAACAGGAACAATATTGAACCTAATAGAACGAGAGTACATAGAACCATATGCAGAATTGTGCCTTTTTTAAAATCGAATTACATCCTATGAATGTAATAATTCATGGTCAGGTTGCAATTCTTGAAATGTAATCGGATATATTTGACCCATAAATCACACTTAGACACTTAATTCTATAGGTGGAACAACAGTGTGGTGAAAGTCGACTTCTATAATCACATAAATTATCTGTGAGACAAATTTCACACTGCTGCAGGAATACAACAACAACAAAATTACATTTGTAAAGCGTCTTCCACGTCGGGAGGACGTCCCAAGGCGCTGGACAGTTTCGCACTGTCCCAGTAATCTGGGAATACCCGGTAATCTGCTCTGAATGCAGTTGGCCTCCTGTTACAGTGATGCATTATCTGAATGCATGCTTAATTAATCGGATGCGTTTAAAACATTTACATAAGAACATAAGAATTGCTAAACGAAAGAAGACCAAGGCCCATCCAGTTACCTTCCATCATCCTGGCAGTCATATTTACATGTCATGTCCCAAACTATAAACTGTATCCCAAGATATTATTTCCTAAAAGAAATATATCTAATTTGTTTTTGAAAGAATCAAGTTTTTTTTTGCAAACGGATTGAGTCTTTTCAATAAAACAACAACTTGTATTTATAATAGCAAGTCCTTTGGTGTCAGTGTCCCAGAGCGCTTTTCATGAGTCTTTTCAATGTAATGTAACTGATTTGCAATCAGCTGTATTGGTCCAGGAGATAATGGCACAGTGGTTATTAATAATAATAATAATAATCCTTGCATTTGATGTAGTGCCTTATTATCGAGACGTCGCAAAGAGCTTTAGCCGAGTGAATTGACTGTATATTTTGTGGGCGATATTTTGTGTATATTTCGCACCCCCCCCCCAAAAAGTATACAGTCAAGTCACTTTACAGTGTATCCCGTGAAGCGCTTTGAGACGTCTCGAAGAAGTGATGAGGCGCCACATCAAATGCAAGGATTGTTATTATTATTATTATAACAAGATTTTGCGGGCGCAACGCAGCAGCCAATCGCTCGCGCCGCGCAGAGGTTGTCCCACAAAGAGTGGCGGTGGGGTGGTGCGGAGGTGGTGGGGGGGCGTGGGGTGAGAGGAGGGGGTGTTAATTGCGGTGTGATTGTTTTGTTTCATTTCGTGGAGTCCTGCAGCTCAGTGGTTAGAGCACTCGCTTTGCAAGCGAGAGACCTGAGTTCAATTCCAGGCAGAGGGCCAAACCTCGGGCAAGTTTCCTTACTCCACACAGAGCCTAATAATAATCCCTCCAAAAACCCCCCAAAAAACAATAATAAATTGGTCGTTTCCAATCCACGACTGTTTGTGGGGACATTGCTGTGCGCAATTGGCTGCCGCGTTTCGCCCACAAACATACAGTCAATTCACTTTACAGTGTGTCCCGTGAAGCGCTTTGGGACGTCCTCCCGACGTGAAAAGCGCTCTATCACATGCGAGGATTATTATTATTATCATTATTATTATTATTATTTGTTGAATGTGTCAGGTCGGACTTGGACGGCGGGGTGGGAGGCGGCGCTGTTGCGGGCGCTGTCGATCAGACCGTCGCAGGTTGGCTGCTGCCGAACGTTGCATCGAAGGCCAACCAACCAACACACACACACACACGCCCCGCCCCCTCGACCCACTCGACCCCTCCCCCACCCTCTACGTTTCGCACATGCGCACCATGTTCGGCCTTTTCCCGGTTGAGGCCCGGTCCGCCTGCCCGAGAAAGTCGCCTGGGTCCCGGGTGACGGCGGGTCAAAGCCCCCCGAAATGGTCAGTAATTCCACGCGCTGCCCGCCGCAGCGGGGTCGCTCGCCGGGCCAGGCTCGGCGGGAGGCGGCGGGCGAGGGGTTGAGCCGTGTCGCCGCGCGGGATGGCGTTAGATTGTAAAAGTGAGTGAGTGAGTGAGTTGATCGTCTCCAACGTGGTCACTTCACCAACTCCTTGAGAGAGAGAGAGAGACTCTTGATCCAGTGAAGGCCCAACAGGCAATACAAGTACAACGCTGCCTGTTAGTTAGTTAGTTAGTTAGTTAATGAGTTAATTAATTAATTAATTAATTGCACTCACATTTCTGGACCTTGTTCCCGATTCCTGGAAGTACTGAGCAGCGTTTTTTTTTGTGTGTGAGGAATTAATGGACTTTCTCTCTCTTTTTTTTATTTGCCCCCCCCCCCCCTCCCCAGTCAAGACACTTAAAGGAAGGCCTCGGGTCTCGGGACCGGAGTAACGTTAGGAAAGTTTTACCGAGCGCGGTCCTGGGGACTCGCCTCCCGCGAGCCGTGCAAGGCTGCTGGCGCTCGCTGGCTCGCTGCCTGACTTGCCTTAAGTGGTTTGATCTTTTAGCGGTGGTCACAAGCCTGACATTCGATACCGCGTCGTTTGATCCGGCAGCGGAGTTATCGGTTTGTCAAGATTGACGCTCACGACCTGCAAGTGTAAACCGTTCGTGCAGCGGCTGTGGTTCGGGTTGGCTCAGTTCATGCCGCTCGTTGAGTTCAAGGGGGTAGCGTGGGTTCAAGCCCCCGGGTCGGGACTCGGACCTCATGTGCTCTAAACCCGATGCTCCAATGCGGGGCTGGGGGTGTGTGCTGCATTGTCGGGAGTTGCCGTTCTTCGGGTGCGACGTTAAACTCGGGTCCCGTCTGCCTTCGGTGTGGACATTAAAAATCCCATGGCAATGCAATACAAAATGACATTTGTAAAGCGCCTTTTACGTCGGGAGGACGTCTCTAGGTGCCGAACGGTCAGGGTTAGGACCCGAGCGATGGCGGGGAGGGAGAGTGGGGGGATAGGAGGGTGGCCGAATGCACGATTAAACTGGAGAGTCAGCTTGCCTTGAAGGAGGCAAGGGAGAGAGTGAGGCGAAGGGAAGGTGGGATGGCTTTCCAGAGTGTGGGGGCAGAGAGGCTGAAGGCCCGACCGCCGATGGTAGGGCAGGATGGGTGCGGGACATGGAGCAGGCCAGAGCCTGCTGAGCAGAGGGAGCGGACGTGTAGATAAGGTGATAGCGGGTTGGAGATGTGGGTGGGGGGCAAGGCCGTGGAGCGCCTTGATGCTGAGGACGAAAATTTTGAACTATCCTCTGAGGGATGGGGAGCCAGTGAATACTTCATTATTATTCGAAAAGGGAGTTTCTTCCAGTGCCATGGTCAACAATCCCCCCCCAAATAAAATTGGTTGCTCACTCCACGGGTGTTTGTGAGATGTTGCTGTGTGTAAATTGGCTGCCCTGTTTACGTTCCCCCCACACTCAAACCACTTTACAGTATATCCTACGAGGTGCTTTGAGACATCTCGAAAATGTGATAAGGCACTATGTCAAATGTAAGGATTATTATTAGTAGTAAGTCTTTTTTACGTTATTGTAACGGTGAGAACATGTAGATGTAAACAAGTGATGCAATTAATGTAATGTCATCGTGTAAACATTAAATTCGTGAAAAACAAAAACATTTACAAACACCACACCATAATTCCACCAGTAGTCAATGTAACAGGATCTAAGCAATGTTACATTCTGAGTTGACACCCAGTCTATTGTATGCTCGAATAGGAAAGAATATTTATATAAATAAAAAGTTGCTTACTGCAAACTCTCGTCACACATTTGTGCAGTCTCAGCATCCATAATACATTCGTCATCACTGAAGTGTTATGGCTTATTGTATAACAATATTATCCTTTGTAATGAGTCCTGTCATCACAAAACACACCATCGTTATGTACAGTACCACTAATTACAGTGTAAATCCTGTGCAAAATGAGCAATATTTTCTTTCATTGTATGACTGAGGCTGACCCATATAATTATTGGCTTTGGGCAGTGAAAAAACTTTAATTCCATTTGTTTGTCAATGTGCCAAAGCTTTCAGATTAATCAGTGCATATGATCAGATAAACTTACAAATTTTATCTTGTCGGGCTACAGGATCTTTAGCCATCTAATAATGATATGGGATCTTTACTGTCCATCTAAACAGACGAATGTGAGCTGATTTCACGTCTCATTTGAAGGACAGCACCTCCGATAATGCAGCGCTCCCCAGCACTGCATTGGAGTGCTAGCCTCGGCTGTTGAGTTCAAAGTTCCGATATGGGGCTTCAACCCCCAACCTCCTGGCCCGGAGGCCAGAGTGCCTCCAACTGAGTCAGGCTGATATCGGACAATTTGAAGCATGAAACATAGAAACAAACTGAGGAAAATCCCTAGGCCATTGAAAAAAAATAACAAAAATGTAATGTTTTGGTCCAATTGACTTTTTGTGGAAATCAAAATTATGCTTATTTCCCCATCTAACCCCCCCCTTTTTTTGATGTAAACAGAAAGGGATCATCATGCTAAAGAGTCTCTAAACCAAACTATTAGGCAGTACACATTGGAAAGCACAACATCAGAAAGTTTACCGCTTCCTATCCACATAGCAACAATCTACCCATTAGTATTTTATGACATGGATATGTGAGGCCAGCTGGAAAATACCCGAGCACTCCTAGTGACTGTCTGCTTGTCCAAGTGTCAACAATGTCCTGGACTTGGCTGTTCCAGGAATCAGACAACTGAGACATCCGCAGAAGATGGTCTCTATTCTGATCTCCCATTGACAGCCATGTCACCTTGAAGCTAACTTAGCCCAAAGAGATCCAACTTACCTTCTGCAAACTCCAAGACAGATAGTATCTGCCTATATTTTGGGGATGTATTTCCGAAAGTGTAATACAAGATATTGGTGTTCCCCCAAACTTAAGAGAGAGTAATTTGGGATTATTATGCTAGAAGTATTATCACTGTTGACCAGTATTACTGAATTGTTGTGCTTTCAGTTTCAAAACAATGCTTATAATTGAAAATGGAACATTTGAGCTTGGTTAAAGTTTATCCTGTTTGAAAGTGTGCAATATTAAATTTGCCACATTGGATAGTTTTTTTTGGATGTGACGCACAAATTTGCATGTAGAAAGTTGCATGCAACCACAACACAAATAAATACCTCTTTATTTAATGTATTAATTTCTTTGAAATAGCTGGGGTACGTAAATAATTAATAATCCAGGATTATTATTTATATGTAGCAGCAAATTTGATTATTGTTTACGTTGGATTTATACACTTTCACATCACAACTTTTTCTTCAACTTTTAGGGATTTGTTAAAGTTGTTAAAAGCAAGGCGTACTTCAGGAGGTACCAAGTGAAATTTAGGAGGAGGAGAGGCAAGTATTCAATTTTAATTCTGGACATTGAAAGCCAAATAAAAGATGAAGCTTATCTAACATGAAAATAAGATCAGAGTTTCTGCATAGCAAGACCATTTTCCACGAATGTCCTTTTCTTTTATTTGCAGAGGGAAAGACTGACTATTTTGCACGCAAACGTTTGGTGGTACAAGATAAAAACAAGTACAACACACCAAAGTACAGGATGATTGTACGATTTACCAACCGGGACATCACATGCCAGGTAAAGGATGTCTTTAATACCCGTTTTCGGTTTTGAAAAGTACTGGTCTCCAGATGGATACATTAGTGTGCATGTTTTTAATTAGCACTATGTCTCGTGATTCGTGGCATCCCCACTATTAAGCATGTTGCTAGATCACAGATGATTACTGAATTTCAGGTGTAAGCCAGTAACTTGATTACTTGACTTCTAAGTAGTCAATTTACTGTCAACATCACTTCCTGCAGGAAGATACCCTCATGTCACTTTGTCAAGGAAGTTACATGAGCGTTCGTTCCCCTGTAATGTTAAAACTACAGAAAATACTTTAATAATATTATATTACATTTGAACACCAGTTGAGAATGTATTAAGTTAATTCACTGACAGGTTATGGTGCTTCTTGTTTTGCAGATTGCATATGCTAAGATTGAGGGTGATATTATTGTATGTGCTGCTTATGGTCACGAACTGCCAAAGTATGGCATAAAGGTCGGGCTTACAAACTACGCAGCAGCCTATTGCACAGGTCTGCTTCTGGCCCGCAGGGTAAGTTTTAAAAAAAAACGCTTGAAAAAAAAGTGAACCCTACATTGTAAAAATATTTATAGTTCCAAATGTTAATCTGTTTGTCGTGTAGAACTAAACTGCCTAAATCAGATTGGGAACAGTAATAAACACTCTATTCTAAGATTTATAACATATTGGTCCAATTCAAGTTTTGTGTCTTGCTGTAATGCTGGGGCTTTGTATCTGATCTCACTAACTCACTAACTTAATCCTGTTCCAGTTTTTTGTATTGAGACTGATACATGTTTGCGTAACTTATTTATTCTGGTCTAGTTAACACAGAAGGAAATATATTTTAGATAGCTGTGCCTTGATGATAATTATATTTTAATTTTGCATCTGTCGAGCTGTCAAACACTTCTCACTTTTATTTTGCTTGAAAACAATTTCAGGTTAAATCGAATGCAGTGTCGATCAAATGCAGAATTAAGATTTCTGCTCAGCATCAGCAATATGATATAAACCTTAGAATAGATGCTTACATCACTGTTGTATTCCACTTGTGATTTTTCTCTTTTCTCCCCCATCCCATATAGCCCATAAGGAATAGGTTTGAGATAGCACCCCTCACGCAGGGTGGCATCCAGGGCCCTTGATTTAGGCCAGATTCAATAGGATTTTTGCGGCTGGCATAGGGAAACATTAATGCTACAGTGTGAAATGAAAGGAGAGTGCACTAATATTCTATCTACAATCCTACTATTCACCTTATTTGAATGTGAGTTTAAAAAGACTCATAATCCTACATAAAATTTGTGTTATCTGAATTCTACAATAGTCCCTGATAAATAATTAATGTTGAGACCTCTTATTTCTGGATGAGCCAGGCTTGTAACCATAATTTGCTTTTTTTGTTTTTAAAAAGCTGCTGAACAAATTTGGGTTGGACAAGATCTACGAGGGAATGGTGGAAGTTACTGGTGATGAATACAATGTGGAGAGCATTGACGGAAAGCCTAGTGCTTTCACTTGTTACTTGGATGCTGGTCTTGCTCGAACTACCACAGGCAACAAAGTCTTTGGAGCTTTGAAAGGTGCAGTGGATGGTGGCTTGTCTATTCCACACAGGTATGGAAGGTCTCCATATTGAAGAAGGTTTTTGATTCAAGGACAAAATAATTTATATCTCTGTTCTTAAAGTATAGTGTTTAACATTACATTTTAGTTTACTGTACAAAGTTCATGGTCAATTTTTGGTACGGGAAGGCTAGTCAGCACTGGAAGCCAGATTTGCTTTGTTTCTGGTTAGCATGGGTCCTCAGTAATCTATAGTATAATATAATAAAAATAGAGTGTATCTATTCTCAAGTGGGGGGACGTCATAATAATTGTAATTGCCTTGCAAAGAGTTCGTAGAAGATAAAAGGAGCGTTCACAGTTTATTTTATACAGTTTCTTATTACTCAAAAAGTAATCTAAATAAAAAATTATTATTGCAACTCTATAACTATGTTTCAGTAGAAAACTGCTTTTGATGACATGTTTGTAACTGAATTTACCTGGCTGGTTCTTTTGACCTACAAAAGTCTGTACATTTGATGAACGGTTTGTTTCACATTAGGGATTAAGATTCACTTACATTTTTATTTCTAAAAATAGAAAAATAGTATACCATTATACTCGTCTTTTTTTTATTTCTTAGTACTAAACGATTTCCTGGCTACGACTCTGAGAGCAAGGAGTTCAATCCTGAAGTCCATCATAAACACATCTTCGGATTGAATATTGCTGAGTACATGCGGAACCTTGTAGAAGAGGATGAAGATGCCTACAAGAAACAATTCTCTCAATACATAAAACACGGAGTCACAGCTGACAAGGTAAGGAGCTGTTTCCTTTACATTTAACTCTTTAGGGCTGTTTTGGGGAATCACACAAATGTCTTTGGCACGTGGTTGGGGAAATATAAAGAATATGTTTAAATCTGAATTTCATTGCTTGGAGTGATTGACCCAACAACATGATACTAGCAACCTTATACACCAAAACAATTTGCCCATTGGTGCAATCTTACATTATACAATTGAGGGTTTACAGGTAGAAACTTAAGAGACTGGGGAGAAATTCTGCCTGGTTCCAGATTTACTTTATGTAGCATTTGAGAGTGTCTATAGAGATTTAGCAAATTCTTATATAGTCTTAATTTTGATGTTGGCTTTTAATAAGTTCTTTTCAGGTTGCCTCTCTACTGTAATTCTCTTGTAAGATTTTTTTTAGCATTAGAGTTTGATTACTTTTGTAGATAGAGGATATGTACAAGAAAGCCCATGCTGGCATCCGAGAGAACCCAATCCATGAGAAGAAACCCAAGAAGGAAGTGAAGAAAAAGAGGTAGAGTGGATGGATTTTTCATTTAACTGTTGAACTTCATAAAAGTGCTTGTCAAAAGTATTTCCATCATTAGCCCAAAAGAATGGCTTGTTATCTGGAATAAAAGGGAATTTCTTGGGAGTAGAATATGCTATGATGTATTTTGCTTTTTGCAGTTTATAGGTATCACCCACTGTATTTATAAAGCATGGAATAAGAAAAGTTACCACTTATTCAACCAAATTCATTCCTTCCACTTGAGAAGTTTGATTTATATAATGTTTCCCGGATCATTTCTCCAAAAAGGCCTCAGCTTCCTTTGGAGAATTGAACAATGGGTAAACCTCAAATGTTCAAGTATATTTTATGCCACTATAGATCAATGAGGCCATGATCCTGTTGAAGACTTTGCCTCTTTGACGTTCAGTAAAATGATGTGGGGATAGTTTCTGCTCATTTAACTTGCCTATATATGTGTATATATATATATATATATGGTTTATCTGGTGTGATTTACCAGATACTGTAGTTAAGATCAGTTTTGTTTCCTGCAACGTGGAGGATCACCCTGATCTTGCCTTGCTAAATTGGTTCTCTTCCGCTAGATCCCAATAGGGAATAGCACTAGGGAAACAGATTTCAGTATGTATGTTAATATTTACAGTTAATTAAATGCTCATTTAATAGTCCCCTGACAGTACATGGGTTGGAAATGGCATGAATACATGGAAATTTAGACTGTGATGCTTCCAGACTAATATTGTCCCAGTCAAGTTGTCATTAAATTTCGCGTTCACTCTGTTGAGTTGAAATGATTTAAGCCCGAGGGTGGTGCTGTTGAGCTACAAAGCAATACCTCCCACTTTGTGCCTGTGTAAGCTTCAAACATAATATTTATAACCATTCCTCATATTAAAAGAACATACCTCCTCTATATCATCCTGGACATTAAATACAGAATTTGCCATTAATTAAAACAGCCCTATAGTTTTAGCTACTACATTAATGAAACTTAAGTCTTAACAACAACAACTTGCACTTATATAGCGTCTCGGAGAGCGCTTCACCTAGTGGAAAGTGAATGCGTGGCACAGCATGCTCATGGGCCATTCTCAATTCTGGTGCCATGGGGCACTACCTGCCTTGCTCAGCTTAAGCGGAAGATTTTGCAGTTAGTTCCGTCATTTGCCATTTTCTGACAAGGATCAGGTAACAATCAGAAATGATTTTAAATTGCTTTCCTAGCTGAAGCATTTATAGCACCTTCACAGAAATCAGCTACCTCCTCAGATAGTTCTACATTCAGCAATATTACTAACAACTGAGCAATCAGGGAAACTCAGATCTCTTTAAAACAGCTTTCTGTGATTTTAGGTGCCCTGGTAAGTTTCATCAGTTCTTTAAATCAAAGTGGAATAAAAAGAAACCTTATTTGGTGCTGGTTTGACATTTTCTGGGTACATAATATTCTCAGCTACTTACAAAAAATAAAAGGCAAGTTCAGAGTTCCAGGTGGACCTTATGTTAAGTCTTGCATTTTGCTTGCTTTTAGGTGGAACCGTGCCAAGTTGTCATTGGAGCAGAGAAAGAATCGGGTCGCTCAAAAGAAAGCCAGCTTCTTACGAGCACAGGCACAGACACAAGACAGTTAAACAGTTGCCTTTCATCATTGTTAATAAAAAAATTCTACAAACACACAAGACAAAGCATGTAAACTTTGTCCTAATAAATTCAAAAGAAAAAAAGTCATTGTTTTCCATTGTATCAAATGATTGCAGAATTTGTGAATTTAAGTTAAAATACATGTATTTCTAGCTTTTTTTAATAAAGCTTATACATATGGTAACTTAGTAGGATTTTACCACAAATTTGTTTTCTCTAAATGGAGATGTATGCCAGTTCAGGGAACGGCATTTTTGCTCTTTGTAAGAGGAGGCTGCCTGTTGTGCCTATGTCTGGTTGGATTGCAAGCTACAGCATAATTCAATGACTCATTGCATTAGAGGCCTCTTGTTTATTCCAAAATGATTGAGGGAATGGAGGGACTGGACTGAGGAGCGATTCAGTAAATTGGGCATGTCCACGCTGGAGAAGAAGATTAAGAGGTGACTTGATTTCTGTCTTTAAGATTCTAAAGATTCTATAAACGATATAGATCATGACAGGCTGTTTCAACTTGTCCAGAATAGTAAAATCAGAGTACACGGCCTGCGATTGAATGGGGGTAAATTCAGAATGAATCTATGCAAACACTATTTTAGTGAGCGAATATAATAATCCTAATAATCCTTGCATTTGATGTAGTGCTTTTCACATCTTCTAGACGTCCTAAAGCGCTTCACAGAATATGCTGTAAAGTGAATTGACTACATTTGTGGGCAAAGCGCGGCAGCCAATTGCGCACAGCAGTGTCCCACAAACAGTCGCGGTTTGAAAATGACTAATTATTGTTTTGTTTTGGAGGGACTATTATTAGGCGTGTGGAGTATGGAAACTTGCCCAAGGTTTCGCCCTGCCTGGAATTGAACCCAGGTGTCTCGCAAGGTGAGTGCTCCAACCACTGAGCTACAGGACTCGTGAACCTGTGGAACAGACTCCCTAAGGAGACGGTTGAAGCAGGAATGTTGATTCTTTCAAACGCAGACTAAATAGTTTTAGGAAATAACATTTTGGGATAGATAGTTCGGGATAGTTACATAATAGTTCGGGACATATGTGCATGCGACCGCCAGGAAGGTGGAAGGTGAACTAAATGGACCTTGGTCATTTTTCGTCTTAACATTTCTTATGCTATCATTACTTCACTGTAAAATGTTAACAACTTCAACAACAACTTGGATTTGTATAGCGTCCTCCATGGACGGCGTCTCAGAGCGCTTCACAGTAACGGATCCCGGGGCCGAGCCAGGGGGAGGGGGAGGAAGGTGACCAAAGGCGCAGTCGAAAAGAAAGGTCTTCAGCAGAGACCTGAAAATAGGAAGAGAGGGGGAGAGGCGAAGGGAGTGAGGAAGGGAGTTCCAGAGCCTCGGGGCATAGTGGCTGAAGGCCGCCGAGCATGGAGAGGAGGCCAGACCTGGAGGAACGAAGGCAACGGGCACTGTTTTGAGGAGAGAGGTCAGAGAGGTAGGGGGGTGCAGTGGAGTGGAGGGATTTGAAGACAAGGGTGAGTATCTTGAAGTCGATCCTCTGGGATAAGCAGCCAGTGCAGTCTGGCAAGGACTGGTAATTGGGGAATGGAGTTTGGTGCGGGTGAGAATGCAGGCGGCAGAGATTGGAATAATATGGATTTTATGGATGGTAGTGGAGGGGAGAGCGGCGAGGAGGGTGTTAGAATAGTCCAGCCGAGAGATGACAAAGACATGGACCAGGGTTTCAGCGGCTTTTGGGGAGGGGTATTGGCGGAGACAGGCGATGCGTTGGTAGGTGGAAGAAAGCAGTGCTGGTGAGGGACCGGATGTGGGGGAGGAAGGATAATTGGAGGTCGAACCTGACACCTGGGTTGTGTACGGGTTCGGAGAGTTTTAGGGGGAGGTTGGGTAGGTGGAGGAGGTGAGAACGGTGAGATTTTAGACGTTGATGAGAGCCAAAGAATATTAAAATAGAAAGGAGCACAAATTACATTTATATTTAGAAGTTTAAGTCACTTAGCTCAAGTTTTATATATATATATATAATAAATAGTATATGGATGGGTACATTTCAGTTTCTTCTAAATTTCACAACTGCATCTTGAGCTTCAAGGCAGACTTGACAGCAACACGCAAAATACTGCATATGTTGGAAATCTGAAAACAAAAACAGAAGTCACTGGGAACACTCAGCAGGTCAGGCGGCATCCATGGAGAAAGGACAGTGAGTCAACGTTTCAGGTCCATGACCCTTCGTCAGAACAACGCCACCATTCTTTGAGTGAACTGAAAGCATTTTTAAAAAAAAACACATCTACACTCCTGAAATAATAATCCTTGCATTTGATATAGCATCTTATCACATCTTCAAGACTTCTCAAAGCGCTTTATTATCCATTTACACATCCCAAGTTTCATTTTTAATGGAAACTTTCTAAAGGGACAATGAGATAACTTATGGCACATTTTCATCCATAGACAACTGAAAAAAATGAATAAAAGGCATAATTCTCAATATTTCTTAATTTGTACTCCAGGCAAAGGTCTGCAATAATCAGAATAGCACAGACTTTGTGTTATAAATTCAACAGCTTATTTATAAGATAAGAAAAGCAAATGATGTCAAGGTTTCAACTAAATGTTTTCAAGATTGTTATCAGGATGCTCTGGCTCACTGCCATACTTTGCCCATCAGCTGTTGCCAGTACATCCTGTACAAGTTCCTGGAGGGTTGATCGAATGCTGAAGGAGTGTAATCTAAAACCCAAGACCTAATGGGAAATTAGAAGAAAATCATCTGTTCTGCAAAGGAACCATGCTTTGGTGGGAAAGTAAGAGGAAAACTTGAGGAGAACAACAGGTATTTAAGGCTACAGAATGACATTGCTCTTTGAATGGCGTCATTTTGGGGGCAACAAGAGTTTTAAAAACATTGAGAAAATGATTTCATTTTCAGGAATAACAGCAAAGAAGTGCCTTACTACTGACAAAATGCATTACTACTACTACTACAAAATGCATTATCATTATTACTACATGGAGGCATTATCCGTACAGGAATGGTCACAAAATAAGAAATATTGCATTGATGAATAGTAGTGTACAGTTGATTTACATTAAGTGTTATAGCATCCCAATTTCATTCAATCCACATGTAAACTTTTATAATTACTCTCATCACCCCAAATTGTTAGGGTAGCAACAAACTTATTCATTATAAACGCTGCTTGTTGGGGATGTAGTTCCTTGCAATCGTGAGGAATGATATCTTAAAAATAAACTAAGTCTGCTCAGTCTTACACTTACCAGACTCAAGTTAACAACCATGGTGGAATGGGATTGTGGAAAGAAAACATAAGGACTCGGTGGGCTAAAACAATATGCACTTAAAGGGCAGACATATCAACCAAGATACATATACACTACATTTCAACGGTGTCTACGTAATAAGTATCAGTTCTTGCCACATTAATTTTCATACAGGAAATTGCTACGCTGCTTGCTAAATTGGAATCTGGTTGTTTTTCTTTATTATATACACCAGGTTTGCGAAGTAAACACAATGTTGATCACAGAACTTAGTGGACATTAAAATAGGAAAATACATTATATTTTCAAAACAAAAGATGAAAAGCTTTGTACTAATGAATGGTAGTGTAAAATGGGTTTACATTAAGTGGGTGTTAACAGCATTCCAATTTCATTAAATGTGTGTTAATAACACACCCAAAGTTCCTCTTTACTGTACTATAATTTAATCATGTCCTAATATACTTAAACAGGCATTTCAGACTGGTGCTTTGCAACCCTTTCACTTGAGATTAGAGACAGAAATTTTCACAAATCTGATATTCATATCTACAATAAATATGGACGACTACTCTATACTACAGTATACCATAGTAAACTGGTATTAATGAAAATTATCAACAGAGCACAAAGCAATCCAGACCAGCAAAACTGAAAGTTAAATTGTGCCCACTTAGCTGGGGAAGAAATTGGTGTTAGTTAACTCTAGTGTCCCCAGGTTAAGGAGGGAAAATATCCCTGGTCATATCCCTTAAGCAGTATTTTTTATTCCCAGGGGTAACTCAAGCAATGTTTCTTTGGAACTAAACTGACTTCAAGGTGACACTCTTGGCAATCAAACGTCAGAATTGAGTCATTCCTATGTGGTGATCTTGGTAGTCTTGTTCCTAAAGCTAGGCAAGTCCATAGAACTCCATCTCACTGCTGATGATAGACCAGCTGGCCTTGTTCCATCAGACTGGGAGGGGCAGACCAGCCAATTGTAAGCAGGTATTCTTCCCGCTTCGCTGGAGTTAACCCTGCAAGGCAAATCTTTAACGAGTAGCTTGGCGCTTGCTGACAAGTAGCAGGAAGGTTTCCAATGCTCTCAATGCTGCGCTATATAGTTTTAGCTGGTAAACCTCCAGCAATATCCCAATACACATACTCAATTCCCCAAGCATGGGCTCTTACCAACCTGTGCTTAATACGCTCTAGAATTAAGCAAAGTGCATCCTTCCAAGGAGAGAGCATGCGTTCAATTCCAGACATACAGATATTTCCACGTGTTGGTGGCATACATAGTGTTACGTTTGGATATTCATAAGCACAGTGATGAGTTTCCGCCTGTTTCAGACACCCAAAAAACCCAAACTCATATGAATAATGACCAACTTGGTAAGGTCCCCGAGGCCTGCTATCATTCTTAGAACAGTACTGACGACTGTAAAGAGAAAGTCAAAGGAAAAATTGAACAGAAAACATAAAAAGGGAGTAAATGTAATGAAGTGCTTTAAAAAACAAAAGTGTACAAATTTCATTTGAATGAACGGAAGAATTTTAATGGCCATTTATAGACTCAAAAATTGGCACTGCATTTTAAATTCTGTACAGTCAACCAGCAGGAATTAATAAAATGCATATAAAGTGCTCAATTACATTAAAACATTAACATTTGAACATTTTTGCATTCTAATATGAATAACTAAATCATTTCAAAATTCACTATTCTAAAATAAAGAGGAAAAGCAATCCCTTCCTGATTTGATTTTTCCAGTTTACCATCCCACACATAGCTTTATTTAAGTTATGAGGAGTGTCAATATTACCCAATATTCTCTTCTGCAAATAAATAATCATGCTACCACTACAGTAATTAAAAAAATACAAACTAAATTCCCATGCTCTGTTAAGTGTTTATGAACCCATTTTAAAACAGCAGCAAAAACTCATATAACCACAAACAAAACACTTATTAAGTGGTTTTATTTCCGTTTTGTATAACACTAAAGTAGAGGAATACCATCAAGGACATTTAGTGAAGATACTGCTATGTGCTGATTTCAAACTAAAGCAATCAGAAACTTTCAATGCTGCCATTAGGAAATGTTTGTTAAACAATGCCTCATCTATCATGGGAGATTTTTTGATGCATTCAGTTAGTGTTTAGGAATCTTTTGTGTGAGAAATTTTCTTCCAAAGCAATGTCTTTAGATTGTTTAATATCAAGGAATGTTCCATTTCCATTTGACTCGCTGCTCCTCGAAGAGCTATACAAGAGTAAAGTTGTTTCTCCAATTCGTCTCTCACATCTGAAGGAGCACTGTTTAAAAGGTAGTCTTTCAGCAGCGCACAGACCTTGGTCAGATTAGGCTGAACCAATTCTGTAGTGCACTGCTTTTTGCTTTGGTGACACGTGGTCCTGCAATCTGTGCCATAGACACAATCTATGTCAGTTTCACAGTGGCGATCTCGAATTAGTTCTTTGAAACTAACTTCTGGTACAACTTTTCTCATGTCCACCATTTTTAAATCATACTTATCATTGTAGCCAATGTTATTTGCACTCATGTCACACATAAGAAAGTTACCAAATGTTCCGTGAAAAACGTCCTCCACAAATTCTAAAAGTCCTATCGAGATCTTAGCTTTTCTGGGCCAGGATGGAGTAAACCACTGGTCCATACTACGCCTTAGACCAGAGGGAATAAAGAATTCCAAAACCCAAGGAACAGTGAGCCCATACAGGGAATTGTAATGAACTTTTTCTGTTACATACAGATCTCCGCAGAATCCAAGTAGTTTAGGTGTATGCTCCTTGTCCTGGAGAATCACCATTATCAGAAATTCATTAAGCTGCAACAATGCCCAAGTGGATTTTGCTTCAGCAAGAGAGACGTGGCCATCTTTATTTCCATCTGCCACTGAGATGACTAATTTGACCAGCTCCTGAAGATTTGCCTGTTCACCCAGCTTTGCCTGAAGAAAAGAAAATGATGTAATCTGTTCACTAAGTAAAAGCTGTGCTAATTTTGAACGTGTCATTATGAATGCTTACCTTCAAGAGGTTGTATACCATTTCTCTAAATCCTTCCATGGATGTCCCTTTTGTGGGTTTGTCAAATAATACCATCTCTTTCCTTGGTTCTATGTCAGAATCCAAATCAAAGCGATAAGTTTCTTCAAGTCTGCATTTTAGGACTACCTGTGATTCACCCCATAGTCCTCTGTATACCTTAATAGAACACAATACATTAAGAATTAGAGAAAATAACTAAACAATTTGCAGAATTATAATAATTGCTAAATTTAAAAAGGTTTTGGTTTAGATTTGAATTTTGAGATGTTGTTATATATTCATTCTAATTATAATAATAATCCTTGCATTTGATATAGCACACTTTGTGTGTGAATGAGGCAGCCAAACACGCACAGCAGGGTTCCACAAATAGTCACAGACTGAGCGACCAAATCAGTATTATTTATTTATTTATTTTTAAAAAGGACAACCACAGCTGGAAAAGTGATCCACCACATATACATATAGATATATAGTGCTATAGAAGTTTGGGAGTTTTTCCCTGGTGTCCTGGCGTGACACCAGTTATTTTCACTTTCTTGGGTTGAAAATATTTATTTATTTTAGTCTATTTTAGACTTAACTTGGCTCAATCCCAAGTTTGCACAGAAGTAATTGATTTTAGTTGTAGTTGTAGTGGGAGTCCTATGATTAGCTTCAGTGCCCCCATTCTAGGAAGTAGAAAACGCATCTAATTCCTCTTCATTAAATCCTGCTGGGTATTGTATGTATGTATTGGGTATGGATAAGATCAGGCTCCTTGCAGTCAAATAGAATGCAGACACTCGTCTAAACTCACACATAAAAGCAGGCCATTTTAACAAAGTATCACAATGAAATTTTGCTGTTGCACAAATGATCACCTCTGCAAGAATGAAGAAATTGGAAGGAAAAAATTGAGACTTCACAAGAGACGTTTGGATAAGGTTTAGATTAGATAATGAAGTCCCATTTGATCTCATCCTTCCGGAACACCCACCTCCTGTCCTCCCAACACAGGCAATGATTGGAGACCTGGGCAGCTTGTGTCTTGGTGATCAAAATTAAATGCACTATTTGAGATGTGCCTGATCAGAACATTATGCAGCTCAAATATAACTCCTGGTTCACTCACCGAGTATGGACTTTTAAGAATTTACTTTAAAATACCTACAATTATTCTTACCTGATTATTAGGTTTACTTGACAAACATTTGCCAAAATAAAGAGTATCTTTAATACACAGGCTCCGACATGCTGATCCATCTATTATTCCCTTCTTGTATTTATCACACTAGAAGGAAAATGGTACAAGAATGGTAAAATTGTCTTAAGACCCTTTCAATGTCATTAAGAAGCAAAGTTTCAATGATCTTTGAACCATAATCTTTGAATAGCTTTGAAGCATCTGGAATTCAAGGGATATTTCTGATTTAATACTGAATATAGCATGTAAACAGATATTTTTCAAGCAGAAAATGCTAGAAATTCACTGAAGTTGAATTAGAGTCTAATAGAAAGAAGGTTTGACTCTTCAACAGAACTGTTGTACATGGAAATCACATTATAGGATTAGATAATGTGATGGAGGACAGATGAAAAAAACAGTAAACACAAAATTACAAACACAATGAGACTGCTGCTGGGTTATTAAAAATTGTGAAGGGCGGACAATGGATGTTGTAGAAAAGACAAGAATGTGAGCCAGCAATATGTTCATCAATACACAAATATCAACTGAAGTACAGTATTAATGCATTTAATAATATTGTCGCAACATACACACTGACATCCCCAATCTACACAATAAATCTATCCAGCTCACTCCATTATCCATTTACTTCAGACTGAATTATGAATTGATGTAGTCGTTTTGAATGTTTCAGCTCAGTGACTATTTGCTGCACTTGTCAATGACTAAATATGGACATGTTAAGTTCATCTTGTAACATGTTCAGCACAATATTTTTTTCCATAGTCTTTATTAATGAAAATGTTTAAAGCACAAAGCATACTCTGTGTAGATATCTGTCTTATGCCAAGATTGAGGAGACTAATTTGATTTGTTGGGTCAGAAACACTGGATGTTTAAATGGCGGCTCAATAATTAGTTTTCTGGCCTAAGTAAATAATGTTATACTTTATATTATCAAAAAAAGTGATTCTCACTGAACATTTTCCTTTCCCTTTAGCCCTTGATAAAGTGATAAAGCAGCCACTGGACTGCTCAGTCATAAATCTAGCATTCTCCAGAAAGGTTAAACTGTCAAAGTCATGGATTTTTACAAGAATAATTTTACCCATGGCGTTTATTTTAATTTTATTCATTTAAATTCAGTATTGTACCGTAAACTATAAAAATAGACGAGGTACAACTTACAATTAGTTTCTTGCAGTCACGGGCCCGGCACAATTCTGTGTGGGTGGAGTACTGGACATAGAGCACCCAACTCCCAACAAATACAGCAAGCCACGAAAAGAACAAGTACTTGACTCGTACACATGGTAAGCGGGCCTGTGAGTAGAAACAGAGTTTTAAAATTACTCATCCTACAGCAAAGCATATATCACAACCCACTTTAAAACATTAAATATTTCAGAGCACATACAATAAAAGTGGCAATGTACAATTCCAATATCTAATATTACTAAAAAAATTTAAAATGATTACAACGATCAAGTAGTCTAGTTCTGCAAAGTCAATGTGAATCGTTTTTACATTTTTGGGCAGTCTTGTGAAACAAGATTACAATCAAGGTTTGCAAGAGGGTGCCTCTGGCCCACTTGACTTCCCCTTTACAGAATATACTTCATAGAATCCAATGATTACCATTATAAATGATTAAACTGTACAGTTCATGTTGCCATAATGCATTCTTTCTACATTTATAGGTTTACAATGTACAAATAAATTGCATTATCACCACTGTTTAAAGTAGGAGTCTGTACAATCCAAGTATCTCTTTTGCCATAGGAGCTGAGCTCTACATTGATCAGATCCTGATGCAATACATGCAATCCAAGTCACATTCTCTAAATTAAACTCAGTGGTAAACCATATATGAAGAGCGCACTAGGTCAGAGGACATTAAATCCATTGGCTCCATGCTGTGTGTATTCCACTACAATATTAATGAAGCATGATTTTTTGCTTGTTGATAAAACTCGTCACTCACATTATTCCTGCCTTCAGAGTTACATTTTCGTAGAGTAAGTGGTAAAACAACCCCTTCTTTGGTTATAGCCTTACAAACCCATTAAAATTAATAATTTTCACCTCTTTTCTTTTTCTGTTAGGATCTTGAAACAGAGAAACTGACGACTGCAGTTTTTTAAAAAAAACATGTTATATTAAATGCAAGGATCATTAGTACAGCCCTGAAGTAGAAATGCACTCCATATAAATAAATACACATAGAAAACCCCACTCCATTCCTAATTGTTTCCGACATTCCACTCTTACCAGCAACATACTTTTGAATTCAAATAAGAAAATACAATATTTTTTAAAAGACCTCTATGATTTTAGTTATGCTTCTTGCGATTTAACCTTTTTTTTGCTTTTTGAAAACAGTTCAGGATAGAAATACTGTCATTTTACTATGCAGCTGATAGTACTGGATGTTGGCTGTACTCCAAGCATAGCATCTGCATTGTGAACACTTTGCAGTAAAATTTGCTTTTCTCGTGGTTTTATGATCATGATCCACCGTAACAGATTGCAGAGACAGAAGGCTAGCTCACCAGATTTCAAATCAGGGAATGAAATGAAAACTGCCTATTGAATGACAAGAGACAGAAAGACATAGAAGTCAGATAAAGTTACATTGAACCTAGCTACACCTTGTAGAGTTACACCGACACAATAAGCAGATTTTATTTCAGTACACAGTATATTTTTCATGCCTTACCAGTTATAACCAAACAATCCCAAAACAATTTTAAAAAGAGGCTGTGAACAAATCCAGCAAATATAACTCAAATTACAAGGACGCAAAAAAGCAAGAAAATCAACATTAGGAAGACTTGATTACACAGGAATCTTCTATGATCTGTTCCTTCAATAGATATTTAATTGCAGAGGCGAGGAAAAGTTCACTCATAATTTCTCATCAAGTTAACACATCCACATGAAAGATGGAACAGACAATCTACTCTTCAGCCTCTAATGATGCTGTGCTGAATGACACGTTACTTGTGTGAAAGGAACTAGAAGTTGTTGTGGGTTTCTGTGACCACCTACTGGGAGATGCTTGAGATGGATATGCATTGAATGCTTTTCACTCTTGTGGCTCCAGTGAAGGCACAGTGTAAGATCAAATCGATTTTTTTTAATTCTATCTTTATTCTTGACCTTGACCATTGTTAAAGGAACGCACTTAAGAGACAATAACATCAGAAGTGAGGAATAAGAAAGGAGATTAAGTTTCCAGAGATTAAAGTTGCTGAAAGAAATCACTTCTATGCCACTCGTTTATCCTGACACATCAAAAAATATGAGAAGTCTCCACTCCACTCATGGGAGGGATATAGAAGTCACAGTCTTCATTATTTCTGACAGTAATAATAATCCTTGCATTTGATATAGCGCTTTTCACGTCGGGAGGACGTCCCAAAGCGCTTCAAAGAACACACTGTAAAGTGAAGTGACTGTATATTTGTGGGCGAACGCAGCAGCCAATTGCGCACAGCAATGTCCCACAAACAGTCGTAGATTGAAAATGACCAATTTATTATTGTTTTTGGAGGGATTATTATTAGGCTCTGTGTGGAGTAAGGAAACTTGCCCAAGGTTTCGCCCTCTGCCTGGAATTGAACTCAGGTCTCTCACTTGCAAAGCGAGTGCTCTAACCACTGAGCTACAGGACTGTAGGGCTGTATAAAGCAATATTAGGGAGCAACTTAATTACCCATGCACTTTTTCTTTCCCATCATAGCTTTTAGCTGGTCAGGAAAACTACCTGGCAAAAAAAGTCCTCGGACTACTATGCCCATTTGCAAAACTGTGTTTTTCTCCTAAGATTATGTATTTTTTCTCCACTCTCATACAGCTTTCTCTTAGGTGATCACTGGTTTAGAAATAATACAGTATCTGTATCTAAATGATAAATCAAAAAAAAGTATTACTTAACGCAGTTTCTGAAGAACAGTATTCCATATATAGACACAAACCTTTCTTCTCCTTCAGTGGGGAGGAAAATTGGATAAACCAGCTCAGTGAACAGAACACAGAACAGATTTTATTTCAAACACCTATAAATTATGGAGCTGTTCAACCCCAGTTGTAGAACACTTGTCTCAACAATGTGTGCTTCAACAAAATTCTTAAAGGCTCTTCTCCACATGCAATTGGTTCCCTAAGTTGTCTGTTGCACCTTCTGGCCCCCAAAACTTTTAACAATCAAGAGTCCCTCAACTGTGCTGCAACTTTCCAGCCTATTTCTGCTGTATTCCCGCTAAACCTTCCTTCCCCCAGAGATGAGAATTTTTTTTATATAAACACAGAAAGTGTTTACGGTCTGGAATGTACTGCCTTAAAAGGTGGTAGAAGCAGATTGAATAACAACTTTCAAAAGAGAATTGGATAGGTACTTGAAAAAGAAACATTTGCAAGAATATGGGGAAAGAGCGGGGGAGTGGGACTAACTGGGTAGCTCTTCCAAAGAGCCGGCACAGGCATGTGGCCTCCTTCTGGGTTGTAATATTCTATGGTTCAATTGTATAAATTCTCATTATTAAGTTATTTTAAGTAAATCTATACAGACTAACTGGAGCAAATGTTAAATATCTCATTCTGAAAAGGAAAATGATCTTAAAACGCCGCATAATGCTGTAGAGGGAGGATGAAAGAGTGTTTGTATTGTGCAAGAGTGAAATCAGATAGTCCAAAAGTCATCAAAACTAATCTTGTGATCTTAAGTTCAAAATAGATATGTTTGAGGAAAAGATCTGTAGATGACCTAATGCCTCTTGGACTTGCTATCTGACACAACTGGGCTAAAGCAGCCTGGGAGCAGACATATTGTACTAAATCTGCTGCACGTCACAAAGTCTGCTCCAGAGAAAGATCGTGAAGGCAAGGTAAATTCATCACTCAGGATATAGTAAACAGACAGCACTGTAGGATATTGGAGAAACTTTATATTGCAAAGGAGCTTTCTATACAAAGGTTTAACTTCAAGTCTGCCTTGGTCCCATAGTTCTGGAACACAAATCTGGGACCCAAAGGAGGACAATCAATGTGCATAAATAACTCCCTTCATGACATTTAAGATAATCTACCAACTCATGATTACTGCTTTTCCACTCCTGCATATAACAACAACAAGATTACATTTTTATAGTGCCTTTCACATCGGGAGGACGTCCCAAGGCGCTGGACAGTGTACAGCATTTCAGACAAATAATATTAAAAAACTCTCTTCAATAAGAACCTGAATACCCTTTTTCGAAAAAGGAATGAATGCACTTCCAAAGCCAAATTTACGGATTGCCAATTGGTAAACTGTAACAGTACAATTTGTGTTTTAGGATTTTAACAAAAAAATCTGTATAAATTCATAAATATTATTGTCAATCAGAATTGCACTGAGGTAGTCTAGTAAAAATAGTGGAACATAAATCAATCATTGGAGAAAGTCAATAAACCTGATATTTTTAGCAATGTCAGTCTCAATGAGAACCACGTATCAACCTACAACAACAACAACAACAACAACAAGATTCCATTTATAGAGCGCCTTTCACGTCAGGAGGACGTCCCAAGGCGCTGCACAGTTGGGTCATGACCCGAGCAGGGGGGAAATGGTCAGGGTGAGGGGAGGGAAGGGAGGGAGAGAGGAGGGGGGAAATGGTCAGGGTGAGGGAGGGAAGGGAGGGAGCGAGGAGGAGGAAGAGAGTCGAGAGGGGAGCTGAAGGCACGGTCAAAGAGAAAGGTTTTGAGACCGGCCTTGAAGGAGGAAAGGGAGGAAGCAAGGCGAAGGCACTGGGGGATGGAGTTCCAGAGCCTCGGGGCTGAGAGGCTGAAGGCCCGACCACCGATAGTAGGGCGGTTGGGCGGGGGACGTGGAGCAGACCGGAGCCAGAGGAACGGAGGGTACGGGCAGGTAGGTAGGGGGATAGTAGGTTGGAGAGGTAGGAGGGAGCGAGGCCGTGAATGGCCTTGTAGGTGAGGATGAGGATGAACCTAAAAAACTTTAAAGGAAATACATCAGTAATACTAAACTGAAAAGTTAGCAATGAATAAAAAAGGAAAGGACAAAGCAGTTACAAGACCGTAAGCTATTGTGTTGCATAAGCTGAAGTTCTTGCTGAAGTTATAAGTACCATTTGCACCTGCACTAGATCTTGTGTACCATAGTTAATAATTACATTTGGAGTAGAAGAGATAAGACAGTGGGCTTGTATTTGTAAAGATGACCTCTGCCACATGCCCTCTACTGTACTAGTTTTCATGCATCTCAATATTTAACAAAAAAATTCTAGGATTTGATATTATATACAAGCTATATTTACAGCAATGAAGAGAACATCACAGAAACCACAGCTGACAGAATATACGCTGAGTGCGAGCTTTTCATTTCAGGCTCTTTTCAATGTGTCTTGGCTCAAATATACATTGTGCCAAAATACATGGTTCAAATTGTTTCACAGGATGTACTCTATGTATTTCTAAGTGAATGTGGCAGCCAATGTGTGCACAGCAATTCCCACATTTTTTGCAGGTGTGAATGTGTGTGCATTTCATAGGGATGGTTTGTGCCGCCACTCTTATTATGATGGAAATGTTTTGAACAATTCTGTCACTTGCATTACATAAAAGGTTCATTCAACAATCCTGTATCATGGACCTTAAATTTGGCATTAATCCAAAAAAAAAATGGACTTGGCCATAAAATCAGAAGATGTACAGACTCTGAATTTCTTCCTTAAAAAAACTGTTACATTGTTAACATGCCACTCTTAAATCAATAGGGATTCTTCCACAAAATACAGTCAATCCACTTTATGTATAGTATAAATATATAAATTTATATTATATCTCTTCGCCTCGCCCCCTCTCTTCCCACTTTCAGGACTTGGCTGAAGACCTTTCTTTTCGACCGTGCCTTTGGTATAGTATATCTTTATATATAGCATATCTGTGAAGCGCTTTGAGATGTCGCGACGATGCGATAAGATGCCACATCAAATGCGGGGTTTATAATTATTTTTATGAGTCACAATAACTTTTGATCCTGATGAGTTATGATTTTTTTCCCACGCTGGCGAGGATCATCGTTTCAAAGTACAGTAAATGTACTACAAATCGAAGTGGTTACCTGTGAAATGCAGAAAATCAATCAAAAGAACTGGGGGGTGTGGGGGGGGGCTGCACTATTTCTTGATCCAGAATTAACACAAACAGTATTTTAAATGAACTTTTCACACCTCTGCGTTGACTACCCCGGTTGTCAAGTGCGCCATACATACATACACACATACACACATACATACATACATACATACATACGGCGTCTTACATAATTGTACCCAATGTGATTTTCAATGCTTTTGGGGTAAACCGTTGATGCCACATTAATTCACGATCCATTTCATCCAAAAAAAAAGACGCAAACACAAGTAGTGACAGTGTCCAAAAGCATTCAAACACTGTACTAGAAAGCCCCCCACCCTCCCCCCACTCCATCAGCACCCCCCCACCCTCCATCACCCACCCCTCCCCTCCATCACCCACCCCCACCCTCCATCACCACCTCCCCTCCATCACCCCCCCCCACCATCCATCACCCCCTCCCCTCCATCACCCCCTCCCCTCCATCACCCCCTCCCCTCCATCACCCCCTCCCCTCCATCACCCCCTCCCCTCCATCACCCCCCCCCTCCTCCACCCCCCCTCCATCACCCACCACCCCCCTCCCCCCCCCTCCATCACCCCCCACCCCCCCCTCCATCACCCCCCCCACCAGCACCACCCCCCGACCAGCACCTCCAAAAACATCAATGACCAGTTAACATTGCTGACACATATTTCCATCAATAACCCTCGAAACTACAGTATATGACTGTGGCTTCGAGAGCAAAAATAAGAGGCAAAGAAAGGGGGGGGGGGTGGGGTGTGTGTGTGGGGGTGTGTGTGTGTGGGTGGGTGTGTGTGTGTGTGTGGGTGGGGGGGGGGGAGGGTCCTATCTATAGACACGTTATTTCCACGAGCATTTTTCAGTACCAAAAGAAATAATCACCACAGCCCCAAGTCACGAACTCGCCACATTAGCCCCCGGTCAAACCTACTTTTTTAAAAAAATATATTAAAAAATATATATATATGAAATGAAAAGGAGCAGTTGCCGTCGGCAGAGGCTGCGTGACCCACAGTCTCTCTGCTCAGGCGGGAGGGGGTGGTGGGGGGTGTTGTTGGTCGGCGACCATTAATACCCACCGAGTCTCGGTCTCGGAGATGCCGCTAAAAACTGCAACCGAAGGACAAGCCGAACGCTTTCAGCCGCTCCCCACTCCCCACTCCCCACCCCCGGGCGGCGGGTTGGCGTGAGAGGCCCAGGCCCAGGCCATTCAATGCGGCATCTCCCACGGTGGGGGGTGGGGGGGGGGGAGGCCTGTCCTGTCCTGTCCCCCCCTCTCTCTCTCTCTCTCTCTTCACTGTCGCTCACCGGCTTTCTGATCGCGGCACAAGATTTGAACTCAACGGTTTTAACCGTCGCGGGCGGGAGGCGTTCATTCATTGCCCTTCACATGAGCTGTTTGGAGAGGAGGGTGTGTGTGTGGGGTGTGTGTGTGTGTGTGTGTGTGTGGGGGTGTGTGTGTGTGTGTGGGGGTGTGTGTGGGGGGGGTATGTGTGTGGGAGTGGTGTGTGTGGGGGGGGGAGGGGGGGGTAATGTGGGGGTATGTGTGTGGGTGGGGGTGTGTGTGGGGGGGGAGGGGGGGGTATGTGTGTGGGAGTGTGTGTGTGTGGGGGGAGGGGGGGTAATGTGGGTGTGTGTGTGTGTGGGGGGGGGGGAAGGTCCTCATGGCCTACCTGGATGTAGTAGTGGCTGCCGCAGACCTTCCTCAGCGAGGCCCAGGAGAGCAGCCTCCTCGCCATGGCAATGAGCGCATTTCAGCGCAGCCGCCGCCTCCGGAGTGAAGAGCGCCCCTCGTCCGTCCACTACTCCCCCACCCACACCCCACCACCCTCAGCTCCACCCGCCACCACGTCCTCAACAGCGACTCCCTCCCTCCCTCCACCTAACCGTCTCTCTCTCACTCTGTGTGTGTGTGTGTGTCACTCTCCCTCTCTCTGTGTCTCTCACTCTCCCTGTGTGTGTGTGTCTCTCTCTCTCTGTGTGGGTCACTCTCCCCCTCTCTCTGTCTCTTTTCCTGTGTGTGTCACTCTCCTCTCTCTTGTCTTTCTCTCCCCCTCTCCCTGTGTGTCTGTCTCTCCCCCTCTCCCTGTGTGTCTGTCTCTCCCCCTCTCCCTGTGTGTCTCTCCCCCTCTCCCTGTGTGTCTCTCCCCCTCTCCGTGTGTCTCTCCCCTCTCCCTGTGTGTCTGTCTCTCCCCCTCTCCCTGTGTGTCTGTCTCTCCCTCTCCCTGTGTGTGTGTCTGTCTCTCCCTCTCCGTGTGTCTCTCCCCCTCTCCCTGTGTGTCTGTCTCTCCCTCTCCCTGTGTGTGTGTCTGTCTCTCCCTCTCCGTGTGTCTCTCCCCCTCTCCCTGTGTGTCTGTCTCTCCCTCTCCCTGTGTGTGTGTCTGTCTCTCCCTCTCCGTGTGTCTCTCCCCCTCTCCCTGTGTGTGTCTGTCTCTCCCTCTCCCTGTGTGTCTCTCCCTGTGTGTCTCTCCCCCTCTCCCTGTGTGTCTCTCCCCCTCTCCCTGTGTGTCTCTCCCTGTGTGTCTGTCTCCCCCTCTCCCTGTGTGTCTGTCTCCCCCTCTCCCTGTGTGTCTGTCTCCCCCTCTCCCTGTGTGTCTGTCTCCCCCTCTCCCTGTGTGTCTCTCCCCCTCTCCCTTCTCCTTAAAGGGGCAGCGCAGCCCAGAGGAGTTGCTGCGGAGACCACAGCCAATGGAGCCGGTTTCGCCGACCGAAATTCCCAATTGGTAACTCGCTCACGCTTTCGTTTGCAATGTTCCCAGGCTTCTTTTTTTTTAATTATTATTATCATTAAAAAATGAAATGAAGCTCGGTTCAATGCAGAAGATGGATTTGTCCAGAGAGTAGGAAATATTTAAATATAAGTCTTCGATAAGGATATGGAGGAGGGAATTCTGAACCACAGGAGAGTTGATGCTGGTAGTTATTGCCAATGGAAAGCCCAAATAGCAGCTGATGGTCCCATTCCGCTGTTTGCACGGGTGATGCCACAGTGCACGACGACCACTGATTTCATGCGTTGAGAACCGAGGTGCAATGTTTACAAAGCTGTGCCGTGAGCCAAGTTGGGATTGACAGGGAGCTGCGCTGCAAAGGATGGAGATCTGAGCTCTAAATGTTTACACGTCAACAGCCTTACTTTGGCTCTTAATGCAATGTAATAAATCCGTCATTATAACGTGCTGTGAGCAGCGCTGCAAATGTGCGACGAGTTGTGCTGCAGTGCAATGGGAGCCGGGGGTATATCCAACCACGCTGTCTTATACAATTCCCCCCTGTAGTCCTGGATTGAGCTGTCTAATCAAGAAGAAAATGATAATGGTTTATAGCCTGGCTGGCATGTAATTGTGCAGATCTTTCCAGCAGATCGTTTGACTGCAGAATAAATTCTGTAACCATGGTTCTTCAGATTTTAGAAGCTGTAAAACCTTTCAAATATTAACTATGCTGAATTTAAAAACAGCAGATGTACATTTTGTTACATGATCTATCATTCTTGAAGGTCTTACTGCCTGCGTTGACCCAGTGACAACAAGTGAATGCTTAAGTGGCACAAAATGTTGTTTTCAAACCATAACATTATCTGGTACATATAATAATAATAATCTTTGCATTTGATATACTGCTTTTCACGTCTTCTAGACGTCTCAAAGCGCTTCACAGAATATACTGTAAAGTGAATTGACTACATTTGTGGGCGAAACGCACAAATATATCCTAACATATCCTAAGTTTTGACTGCAGGTGAATATGTTTTCAAACAACATAAGAAACTTGTTCTTTCCATCTTTTTCTATCGTAACACTTGTATGGTCACTCAAATTATATACGCTGTTGGATCAGTTGATAATGTACATATTCATCTTGTCTGAGATAACATATATATTGACACCAATTGAACCTAATCTTGTGTGCTAGTACTCTGAAAGCAAATGCCTATTGTAAATCCATTATACAATTGTTTTTTTTTAACTTAATATTGCCATTATTAGAATATCCTGACACAAATGTTACCACATTGAGATTTGTTCATTCAGTTCTCCTTTGCCTTCTGGCAAATGCCACATAAACAAAAGTGTTCGAGTAAGCCTTCTGAATGTTACAGAATGTGATCCTTTGGAAAATACACGCAGCCATGAATTTGCTTCATCCATCTCCTATTGAAAGAAGCTTAATACTTTGACTTCATTGCCTTAGAGTACAAATATCTGAAAATTACAAACAAATATCTGCAATTTGCTTCATTATTAAAGAGGTTGTGTAATTGAAATGGTCAATAATTGTAATCAAAAGCTCCCCAAATGTAAACTGCCTATTTTAAATTAATTTTCTGCCAAAGCAAACACCGGCAAACACTTTGCATTCTTTGAAAATTTCATAAAAGATACAATAACACAATGAATGTTGCAAGATATTTTTATGAACCAACAAAAACTCTCAATCCACAAATGGGTTCACTTTGGTGCATACAGCACTGATCAAATCTCCTGTGTTACAAATTGTAAGGATTCACATCCATGCTTCCTGACACTCTATTTCCTTATTTGGATGTTTTTAAACAAAGACAAAAAAGCTCTAATTCAAAAAGAAACTATGGCAACTGTGAATTTTGCATGCAGTCCACGTTCTTGAACAGTTTGATTTATATTTGAAAATCTTCTGGGATATTTCTACAATGTCAAATGTCAGTTCCTGCAGTTATTATTCCCTGCAGACCCTCTAAATTTTGAAAACATAGTAAAAAGACAATAGTTAACATAGGTTTCAAAGTAATGGCTATTATGATGCAGTGACAGAACAATATTTCATAGGAAAATATTGTGAAATAATTATACTGAAGTTTTTTTAAAAAATACTGTATTTTCCACATTATAAATTCCTGTGGTAGCTCTTAGTTGCAATTACAGTTTAGGAATGTTTAGGGATGGTTTTACATGAGTCAGATTCAGACAACTGGAGACACATTTGATTTGTGTGGTTGTAAAAGTATGAAGAGTAATTGTAAATACGTTGCTTTTATGGATACGCTGTTAAAATATCTGGTACTACATATGAAGGGGAATTGACTTGCAAGTGTCTTGTTACTGATATTTCTGGAGTTAAATTGTTTGGAGCTGAGATTTTAATACATTTCAAGAAAGAGAATCTACATTTTATTAATATTTATTTTAGGTTGGATGAAAGTATGATTCATTTCTAATATGTCTGAGCATCAAATATTGTGAGGGTATTTTATTTTGCAAGGGATTGAATATCCTTCTGCTTTACATTTGTAAGCTGAGTGAATAAATGTGTGATCAATTTAGATTTGTGCAATTGCGATCATTGGCAAATCCAGAAAGCAGACAATTTATTTTCTCTTACAGTATGAATTTTATGCAACAAATTATAATATTTATCTCCAACATGTAGACAAGAGGAAGAGCTAGCTTTGAGCCATTAGCACTAAGCTCTTATACCCAAGCTACAAGTTTTGAAATTCTACTTCAGATTATTTCACTCTGAGCCATGATCAGAACCTCATCCCCGTCTTCAACAGAATGACCCAAATCTTGCCCACACTGACAGTGAATATGGAGAACAGTTCCACCCATTATATCAAGATAAACATAAAGCAAGGATTCTAATTGTTGTGTGTGTCCGTGGGAGGAAAGTGAGAGTATTAGGTGGCTTTCCAATAGGGTTCTGGAGAAGATGGCATTTGAGAAAAGATAAAATGAGATGTAAATAAAATATAATAATAATGTACATTTGGTACACTACTTATATCGCAATGTCCTAAAGTGCTTTCCAAAGTTTCTATAAAGTGTAGTTAATGTGTACTGAAAGCAGTCAATATGCACACAGCAATGATCCACAAACATCCATAAAGTAAATTGCCAATTATATTCAAGGAACAGTGATGGCTAGAACCCGGGGAAAAAACTCCCTTCTCTTTTTAAATGCCCACCTGAATCGGCAGAGAGGACCTTAGTCTAACATTCCATCTGACAGATGGCTTCTCTGACAATGCAGCAGTTCTCTGGGAATGCACTGGAGTCTACTTAAGTCTATGAGTTCAAAATTTTAATATGGCCTACTAAACAATGACCTACTAAAGTAATAACTGAACCAGGCTAACTGACTAGGTACTGATTATATCTGCTAAGACTTGATGTCTGGTGCAGCTATAATGAGCCATTACCCAATCAAGTTTGTTAACCAGTGACATCTGCTGGAACTATGTATATGTGGATGGAAGCCTTAAATTCAGACCATCAAATTTGTTTTTGTTTCAGATCATACACCTTTTCCTGACACCAGCACCTAATGTCTTCCATTACTCAAGTTATTTTTCAACACATTTGTTGAGAGCAACTCTGTGGGAAAAAAACAATCTAATTCGTAGTCCAACTTAAATCAACCTCATCACAGAATAATAAAAGTTACAACACAGAATTTAATCCAGTCATAATTTTAAAAGCTTGGACCATGTTTTTCTCTCTCTTCATCATTGGTCATTCATTTTATGGCTGTGAAATATTGCTGTGTCCAAATTGGATGCTGCGTTGGCCTACAAATACAACTTAAGGCCAATAATAAGGCACTAAATCCAGGGCAAGGATTTTATATTTTTTTATATATATATATATATCATCTCTTTCTAATAAGATCAAGGTCATTCTCGAGCGTTGTGTTCTCAGCTCGATTTTTTTTAAAAGAACAAAATCGACAAGAGTTGTTGTCAATTGTGTGTGTATGATACGTAAACAATAATTGGTTACCAACTCAAAGCAAAAGATGCAGTAGGATATTGAACAGCAATGTGGAGCAAATACTTTATTCTCTAGGAATACATACCCCCCAGTGCCAGGTGACTATTATTGATCTGCGTTTAATTTTGCAGACCGCTACTTTTTTTAAAATATAAATTGGTAACATTTAATGTGTCTGAAAGGTGGTTCATGTTTTCTACAAAACACACAGAACCAAACATTAAGAAAAGAAGTTTAGCGACTCACTTATTCTGTCCAAGACGCTCCAAGAGATAACAATGGGCTGCGTTCCAGCAAAGGCATGTAAGTAAAGCGCTGCCGTGGCTGTTATGTTGCGGTGTGCCGACTGGCTTACTCCAGAAGCTGCTATTTCATAATAAAAATCGTTATGTTATGCTGTGCTGAGATAATAATTATCTTGAACAAAAACAGAAGGCGCTGGCAACACTCAGGAGGTCAGGCATCATCTATGGAGATAATCTTCCATTTGATATAGCGCCTCATCAGATCTTCGAGACGTCTCAAAGTGCTTCACAGAATACACTGTAAAGTGAATTGACTATATTTTATGTGAGCTGCTGTGCTGCTTACAGGAACTGTGTGCTGTGTTGGGATACTTACAGGCGCTGCTGTGTTGGGATGCTCACAGGCGCTGCTGTGTTGGGAATGCTCCACAGGCACTGCTGTGTTGGGAATGCTCACAGGAGCTGCTGTGTTGGGAATGCTCCACAGGAGCTGCTGTGTTGGGAATGCTCACAGGCGCTGCTGTGTTGGGAATGCTCACAGGAGCTGCTGTGTTGGAAATGCTCACAGGAGCTGCTGTGTTGGGAATGCTCCACAGGAGCTGCTGTGTTGGGAATGCTCACAGGAGCTGCTGTGTTGGGAATGCTTCACGGGAGCCGCTGTGTTGGGAATGCTTCACGGGAGCCGCTGTGTTGGGAATGCTTCACGGGAGCCGCTGTGTTGGGAATGCTCACAGGAGCTGCTGTGTTGGGAATGCTTTACAGGCACTGCTGTGTTGGGAATGCTTCACGGGAGCCGCTGTGTTGGGAATGCTTCACGGGAGCCGCTGTGTTGGGAATGCTTCACGGGAGCCGCTGTGTAGGCCGCCGCGTCGGGTTACTCACAGGGACTGACGTACGCCGCGTTGGGAATGCTTACAGAATGGCGGAACAGGCTGGAGGGCCTCCTCGCTGCTTCTGTCGCTTACGGGTTAAGCCGCTGCGCTGCGTTACTCGCGCGCTCCCTCCCGGGAGCTGCTGCGCGGGTCCCGCGGACACGACAGCGGCCGCTCGGCCCGGGCCCGGACCCCGCCTCCAGGCCGTCACTGGGCGGCGAGAGCGCGCGCGCGCCCTCTTCCCACAATTCATAGTCAGTAGTAGCGGGAAAGCAAAATGGCGTTGGAGTAACCGCCGCCGCCGCCGTGAGGAGAAAGACTTGTTGGGGGCTCCTGGGGGGCCGCCGAGGGCCACGGACACGGACAGGGCGAGGGCGGGAGGAGCATCCCTTTCCCCTCCCCCCCCTCCCTATCCACCACCACCACCCACCCGGACACTCACGGCACAGACCGGCTCCGGCCTCAGTCTGTATGTAAAAGGAGCGATTTCACGGCTGGGACGGGCTGAGGTGAGCGCGGACTCTTTGTTTGTTTGTTCTCATTTTTTTTAAAAAAAAGCCGTGGCGGGGCCTGAAGGCTCAGAGCCCAGAGCCGAGGCCTTGCGATGAGTTCCCTTTGCGAGAGTCGTCGTCGAGCAGCCCCTCACCAACAACCCCTTGAGAAAATACTCCCGCGCCCCCCCCCCCCCGCTCCCTCCCCCCCCGCTCCGTGCCTTTAAAGTACACTTGACGAAGATTCGCATTGCCGCGCGTTTTTAATTCGAGGTCGGAAGTTTTTTTTTTAACGGGGATCGGTTTCGAAACGACTCGGTGTTTCATCTGTGCCCGAATTCCTTTGTTTCGGCGAAGGTCTTTGAACGGCTCGTGGTTTTCTGCCCTTATTTGCGCGCGGGAGGGACGAGGAGGGGGTGTGTGTGTGTGTGGGGGGGGGGGGGCGGCGACGGTGTTTATTTCTTTGTTTAACGGCTCGAGCTGCCGCTTTGTGGGTCCCGGTGACATCTCGTACTCCCACCGACTGAACGTGCGGTTTGACAACATTGAACACAATGGGGGCACACAATGCAGTCAAAGCCCTCCCTCTCTCCCTCCCTTTTCTCGTGGATTCTGCTGTCTGGAATTTGGGTTGTTTGTTCAATGCACTGTGTATACACAACACATACCCCCCCCCCCCCACCCCCCCACCCCCATGCAATCATTCTTTCACCCCGTCGCTTAATTATTGCAGATTTGCATCATTTATTTTACAGGAAAGTGTTCGCGTTCTTCATAGCAAAGAATTGTAACTCTTAAGCTCCGAATAAACCCACTAAAGGGGTGGGTGGGTGGGTGGGAGGAGAAGGATCACGTTCTCACTGCCTTTAGTGGGACTACTTTTTAAAAGAAAGTTCAGAAGAGTTTCTTTCTCTTTCCTATACTTTCCCGGTTCTAAGAAAGAAGTGGCTAATAGACAGCGATTTTTTATTTTTTTTTAACTCGCACTTCAAAAATCTTGAGATTAGCTTTTTGAAATTGATGTTTGGGTGTCACATGTATAATTGTACATTTTTAGCGGGAAACTAAACCTTATGGTTTCTCAATTGCCTTTATTTTCTGTGTTTTTTCAATACAAAAATTAACTGCACATTTTGAGCACTAATCTTACTCGTTTATTTTTCTATAATCTGCTTGTATCATGGCATTTTTCATCACCTTAAAAGAGGCGTGCTTAATGCACAGAATATTTTCAGCAGTTTTTTTTTCTGGGACAGGCCCGTTTCAGGGAACTTATCGGGACAGACACACTTCAGAGAATGTAAAAGTTCTAAAGTCAATTTTAAAATATTAAAGCACTGAAGTGATTCAGATTGACTGGTCAATAGGAATGTGTACAGATATTGGTTAAATTCACCTTGTATCTTCAGAACAAGACCTGGACAATTGCCTGACTTAAGAAGGCAAACAAGGGTAGCAATTCTATATTAGTATATCTTGTTCTTGGTTTTCTTCTAACTTCAAATGATTTTTCTTTTCTATCTTCCTGTAGGCTCATCCTCCCAACATGAAAGGCTCTTTACAAATATAATTTTGTTGTTGTTGTTCCTCAGGTAGTCTGGAAAGGTATGATTAAATTCAACAAGTGTTATGCTTAGCACGTGGCGTTTTTTTTTCATGAGGTTAGTGATTTAGAAAGTAAATGCAATGCAAGGTTTAGTGTAAATCTTCGTTGAAGTATCTCAATGACTTTTAGTTTTTATTTCCAGTTGATGATGACATTTTCCTGATGGACAGAGATACGACGGGAGCAGGTAACTCATCTCTCCACAAACGATCTCCCTCCCGCCGAAATCAGAAGACACCAGTGTCCTCTGTTCACCTGTCATTGCGGGATGGACCAAAAGGCAAACAAACTGTATGCAAGTTTGAGGAAGGTCAAGATGTCCTAGCCCGGTGGTCAGATGGCTTATTTTACCTTGGAACAGTCAAAAAGGTAAATTGATTGTATTCTAAAGTACTACATAACTGCTTTAATTGGTGGATTTGTGCCTGGTTAAAAATTAGTTATCTTATTCATCCAGTCTCTTATCCTGCGTGATCAACATGGTAAAATTGCTATCAATAATACACTAACTTCTGAGCGCGTAAATAAGCTCAGAAGACAGAAGGCGATCAGTTTATATGATAAACCTTGTATTTGATATAACGCTTTATCACTTTGTCAAGACGTCCCGAAGCGCTTCACAGGATACATTGTGAAGTGGATTGACTGTATTTTGTAGATTTATATTCTTTATATGTGGAATGGATAACTCTACAAAGTCAAGTGGAAACAATATACCTATTTGGCTAAATAATGCTCAGTTTAATAGCAAATATGCATTTTGTACTTAACGATAAAATCTCATTGTAAGCGTGGAATTCAAAGTGAGCGCCAACAAGCGGTCATGATTTACCTCAGTCTGGGAGTACTCACTGAGGGCCTCTTGTGGAAGGAACCTGGTACGGTGAAATCTACAAACAAAATTTGTGAAGACTTAAAATGTTCCCAATACCCATTTGCCCTGTAAATGATAGAAGTACACAACTAATAAAGTTTTTAACTTTATGGAAAAATCAATCGTCACTTTTTTTAATGCTAATAATAAATAATAGTATAATCCTTGCATTTGATGCAGCGCCTTTCACGTCTTTTGGACTCAAAGCGCTCCACAGAATACACTGTAAATTTTAAGTAAGTAAAGCTTAGTCAGTAAAGAACAGTCTCCAGTTGTAAAACTTATTTTTTTTCACAAAACTTAACCATTGACATTTATGGCACAGAAGGCAATTCAGCCCATCGTGTCTATGTCGGATTCCTCAAGCAATTCTTTCAGTCCCATTTATCTGCCCTTTCCCCATTACCTCTGTAGCTGACTTTTTGTGTGATTTAACTGGAATTAATGAAAATGGATATTTAGTTTTGTTGGACACATTTATCACTGCAAAAACTAAAGTTTTTTTTTAATTGAAGGTGAACAAACAGAAAGAGAGCTGCTTTGTCATCTTTGAAGACAGTTCAAAGTCTTGGGTCTTGTGGAAAGACATACAGACTGGTAAATGTTTTTCAAAATTCTCTATATATACTAAACAATTGGCTCTTATGTAAAACTGTTTTCTGTGTGTTATGTGGACGTAGAAATTAAAGTTGAAGTGGACATAAAATCTAGAAAAGTATGTTTTGTTTGAAAAACACCCCTCCCCTCCCCAATAGAGAGAAAATTGTCATAAAATAGTTGTTTATTCCTTGCTTATTTCACAAGTGTTTCACAATACAATCCCACAACCAGCTTAGTGGTTAACGTGGCTTGAATTTTGTTTCTCATATTACAAATTCATCCAGTAGTTTATCTCTCAAGCCAACTCCCAGGGTGTAAAGTATTATGTTTTCCTACACATTTGTAATGGAACTACAGTATTTAACTTTTTAAAAAAAAAAGACTTTTGTGCCATATTTGTGGAAGCCTTCTATTCAGTAAACTTATGAATTATGCAACATTTAGCTTCCCACAGAGATGTGATCCCATCATTGAGAATGTTTTCTGAATTGTTGGGTGTGGTATCGTGGACGATAATGTTACAAAATCTCTCGATTTCCAATTTCTCTGCTGCTCTTTCTTCTTTTCCATACCCTAACAGCCATGAACTCCGCAAAGGCACCTGTTTGAAAATTTAAAACTAATATTTGGGCATCTTTAATCTTTGTAAACTGACTAAAGACGAATTTATGAACCATTTAGCTTGAATTTCAATTTATAATTTAATCCTATGAAAGATAGGTGATCTTCAAAGAAAAGGCAGCTGAAATTACAAAATACAGATTGACCAAACGATAGCTTTAATAAACAACGTCAACAAATTGCATTTATGCAGTGCCAAAGTTGAGAGTTTGATCCGAGTTGGATTCAGGAAGGATGGGGTCCAAGGAGCTGGAATGAAAAATGCATGCAGTACAATTTATATTTATATAGAGCCTTTCACTTTCGGAGGACGTACCAAAGCAGTTTATATAGCACCCTCCACTTAGGGTAGCGTCTCAGAGCACTTATTAGTGGTGGAGCCTGACTCTGAGCCAGGGCAGCAGGGTGGCGGGTGCATGGTGACCGTAAGCATGGTCATAGTGCTGGATGGGCACCCAAGTTGGGGTGACTGGGTTGGGGGTGAGGGAAGGGAAAGATCATCGAAACTATGAGCAAAGGTATGTTTGATATAAAGGCAAGTGTGGGGGAGAGAAAGGAAACAGTATTTTTAGTATATTGTATGTAACATTAGTTTGCATTTAATATTAGGGGCCAGTGGAAGTGGAGAGATGGTTTGTACCATATGCCAGGAGGAATACTCGGAAGCACCCAATGAGATGGTCATTTGTGACAAGTGTGGACAAGGTAAATGTTAAAGTTTATTTATTTATTTTTTAAAAAACTGTCAACTTTAGTTTATTGGAATTTTTTTATCAAATTGCAGGTTATCATCAGAAATGTCACATTCCTAACATCGACTCGAGTGTGATTGCATCAGATGCCAAATGGCTGTGCCGTCAATGTGTCTTTGCTACAACCACAAAAGTACGTACAGCAGCCTGAGATGAAAAACACCATTCAAATACTTTGGTAAACTAGCAAATCTTAAAAATAGTAACTGGGATCTATTGTTTAGGACAAAACATTACATTGTGTGTGTATATTGTTACTAATAGAAAGTGTTTGAAGGAAAGAGATAAAAATAACTTAAGTGCAAATAACTAATTTAATCATTCAAACTGAGATACAATTAACTATGTAATTAAATATTTTGCAGATACAAATCAATTTGAATTTTGTATTTATATTCTAGAGGGGTGGTGCTCTTAAGAAGGGACCAAATGCCAAAGCCCTGCAGGTCATGAAGCAGACGTTACCATACCAATTGGAGGACCTTCAATGGGATCTAGGCCACAAAACTAATCACCAACAATGTTACTGCTACTGTGGAGGACCTGGGGAGTAAGTTCAATGCTTCATTGTATGATTACCTTGATTGTGATGGGTTAAATGCTAAGTCTTTGTGGTAAATTAGTTTTGGAGGTTTTGAAATCTCTTATGTGTCAGGAGATCTTATTGCAATCTCAAAGCCTTCTCAATTCAGGTGCACAGACATATCAGTAATCTCAGTTGTCATCACAAAGAGGAAGAGAACACTACACTCTGTAAGAAATACTTTCAAAACAACTTGTAGGAAGTTCTTCTCTGCGGGGTGGGGGAAGGGAAGAAGGGAACCCATGTTGTACGAGTTTTTATCTGAACTGAATTGACATGTGTTCTAAGCTTCAACAGGATAATCTGATCAGACATATGGAAAAACAAGGTTTTCTAGCTACAATGTTGCACCATTGATTAAAAATATGATCTATCGGTTAAAATGCCCTAAAAGTTCTGGTCTGACTGACTGCAAAAAATAAAATTAACATTATCTCTCAGGACCCTGCCCCAGATGTGCTAAAGAGATAACAATAGACCAGATACAATTGCTCATTAGGATATATTGTTAGTATTAGAAATTACAATTACTAGGAATTTGTCTCCATGTTGAGTTGAGAGACAGTAAAGCCCCATATAGGTAAGGTTGTTCAGTGCTTAGAATATAATTAAAGATATTAAATGATGCCCTTGAGGTAATATTTTCATATGCCATTGTTTGCTTATCCTTGAACTCCCCAATGATCGACTTCAAGATCCTTACTTTCGTGTTCAAATCCATTCACTTCCTGGCAGCTTCCTACCTCTCCGACCTCCTCACTCCCCAATCCACCACCTGGCACCTCTGTTCGACTGGCATCGGCCTCCTGTTCATCCCTCGCACCCTCTGCCCCACCATCGGAGGTCGTGCTTTCAGGCACTATGCCCCAAAACTCTGGAACACTCTCCCTCAATCCCTCCGATTGGCTGCCTGCTCTCTCCCCTCTTTTAAGTCCCCATTGAAAACTTTCCTGTTCGAATGTGCTTATGGCCACCTCCCCCTGGTTCGGAGTCTGGCTCCACCACTGTTAAGCACTCTGAGACGCGACCCTGTGTGGAGGGTGCGATATAAGTGCAAGTTGTTGTTGTTGAGATCTTAGTCACAATTCGTAGGCCACTGGTTGACAACCGAGTAAAAGAGAATCGAGCCATAATCAGATTTGCAAGAAGATAGACTGTGAGGGTAATTGTTTTTAGCCATAAATCTTTCCCCTCTTCTCTCCCCCCACCCTCCCCCAGCAGAATTATCGACAAGAGGTTTTAAACTTTGGCTGGTTGGTAAACACATGAAATAATATGATGATTCAATATTCATTTGAAGAATGATGCATGAAACGCCTTGAAATAATGCTTTGTACTCTACCTTGAGTGAAGGCCAACCTGCTACACAACTAATCTTTTCATACAGGATAAAGTAGGATTTGTTCCTGCCTGTGTCAGTGTTTATAAACTGCGCGATGAGTGTAAGATGATCGTGTCGTTATTCTAATTGTGTACAGCACAGTTCTAATATGTAAGAATCACTAACTATTTTTGAGGAAAGCTCTTTTGAAATTTCAGTATTTTAAACAAATAATCTTTTCACCATGGAGGAATCCATATTGCATTTCATCTCATTATCAATTTAATTGTTGCTTTACTTTTCGGTGTTGCATTTTGAGGAGGCTATCTGAGTTGTCAGCATTTGCTTTTAATAATTCAGAAGATATTGCTTTGTAAATAAAATTGGTGTTTTTTTTCCAAAGCTGACTTTTAATAGATAATTTTTATACTTTTATTGTGGTACATGTTTGAATATTGCATAGAATTTTTTTTTTCTAGTTGGTATCTGAAAATGCTGCAGTGCTGGAGATGTAAACAGTGGTTCCATGAAGCCTGTATACAATGCTTACAGAAGCCTATGCTTTATGGAGACAGGTAAATCTTATCTGTCTGTTTAATGTGTCTAAATTCTTTTTTGTTCCTACATCCAAAGTTTAAATTGTCAAAGCTCTATAAGACTACAGTGGATTGTGGAGTTCTACATTAACTTTTATCACAACATCTGCATTCCATGTCTAGCCCTTGAAGGCAAATGAATATGAAGATCTAATTATATACTAGGCTTTACATCAAGTTGAGCTTAGTTTACTATCCGTGTTTATCAAAAAACAATTTTACACTTTGCATTGAAATATATTTGCAGTGGAACAGTTAGCAGTAGTCTACACAACAAAGGATCTCAAAAGAAAGCACAAGCTATGATTTGTAAATGTTTCACAAATACAGAATGTTGTGAGAATTTATATGCCCAGAACACTCCCCATCTGTGATAAACGAATAAGAACTGATAATCTGTCCACCTCGTATGTGACATCTAGCTTTCTGATAATTGATTTGTGACTTATGTGAATTGAAATAAAGGTCCTTTGACTGCCACAACCATGTTTTATGATTTTCTTCTCTAAAAAGTGTATGTGATAGCTGATCAGCTTTGAAGGAATGATGGGGAAAGTGTATAGAAGATTTTATTCTCTCTTTTGCCCATCAGGTTCTATTTATTTATTTGTTCTGTTTGCAATTCTGGACCAGAATACCTCAAACGTCTACCTTTGCGGTGGTAAGTTGATTTGAATTAGTTTATTCGTAATTCCACTTTTTGGGGAAAAGAATGAAACATGGAAACCATCCATGATTCTAAGTTGTTATTGGGGTTATAATTGAGTAAAAATCATGGGATGTATGCTGAAAGTTTTAATTTTTTTTGTAGGGTTGACATAGCACATTTAAGCCTTTACAACCTAAGTGTTATCCACAAAAAGAAGTATTTTGATTCAGAGCTTGAATTGATGACTTACATTAATGAAAACTGGGACAGGCTGCAACCTGGTGAGGTAAGATCTAAGGAAAATGTTACACAAAACTTAACATAAGAGTTAACCTTCGTTACAGTTATATTAGAACAGTGCTAAAAGAATCAAACATGTAGATGTGTGCTGCTTGAAATTCTGGGATGTTTTACTTCACTATTTATCATCTCTGAATAAACATTATTTTAGTACAAATTTTCCCCATCATTTTTTTTAAAATCTGTTCACAAATGGTTTTTAATTGGAACTTATTTCCTAACTCCTTATTCTGGTGTGAGTATACAAAGATTTGAACTTCATCTATCTTCAAAGGACAGTTTGTCTAATGCGTGAATAATATATATTTCTGGTCATGTATTGTCACATATAGCTTTTATTTTAGATGTTTTTATACTGGATACAATGGTCAGTCAAAGATTGAAGCCATTTATGGGTTGTCATAAAAGAGATCTGTAAATTATGCAGACATTTTGCGTTACAGTTCAGAGCTAAGTTCTTATATTTACATTAGTCTGTGACCCACTAATGTCAAAATTAATTAGCTATGAGAATGGAGCAAATAAGAATGAAATTGTAATTAAATTTGTTTTACTTTCTGATGCCATTTACAGCTTATAGATACTCTAAAAACCGAACGATATGACCATATTCTGGAAGCACTAAATGAGAATAAGTGCATGTAAGTATTAAGAATATCCGATTAACTCAGATAATGGAATCAGTTATGTTGCATTCGGCAAATGAAAATTTTCCACAGATTGATATATTTTGGTTTTCTCTTAATTGCAAGCAAAAATCCTCACATTGGGGAAATCCATGGTAGACTGATGGAAATTTTACAACAAAAGATGCAATTCCATCTTAGACTTCAATTTTATTTTACAACAACAAATTACATTTATATGGTGCTTTTCAAGTCGGAAGGACATCTTAAAGTGTTGAACAGTTAACAGTTTGATTCTGAGCTTGTAGTTGGAATCAGGAAGGGTTGAGGGTAGGGGTTGGGGTGGGGATGGGAAGCTGGTTAAAGGCATAGTCAAAGAGGAAGGTTTTGAGACAGGCCTTGAAGGAGAGGCAAGAAATGGGGCAAGATAGAAACGTATACGTATTTACCTTATACGATGATGTTCTGATGGAACACACCAAACTGCTGTTTCCTTAACTGTTTGTGTAATTGCGTCATCTTTTGAGTGTCAACTTAATGTAATTGTATTTTAATTTGTAGGTTTATGTCTGGGAAAGAAATCAAGAAGAAGAAACATTTGTTTGGATTGCGAATTCGGGTTCCTCCCATTCCTCCGAATACTGCTTTGAAGACTGAGGAAAGCAACGAGGAAGTTTCTCATGAATTTAAAATTAAAGGAAGGAAGTCTAGTAAATCTACTGTTCTCCCTGTATCCATAAGAAGGTAAAAACAGTTTACTGAAAATGCGACCTGTGAATCTTTTAAGATAATTGATGTGATGGATGTTTAAAAAGGAATCAGATTATAAGTTGTATGAATATGGCTGACATGATTTTGAGGTAGTCCCTGAGATTTACCATGAAAACTCAAGTTGCTGAACCAGGAAGGTCCCTGTTTTGAAAACCGATGTGTGTAATTGATATTAAGGATAGAAAAAAATGTTCCATTGGGATAGTTTGATCTTTCTCGACAGAAATGTTGGGAGGTATCAAAGGACTCTTGAACTTCCGGAAGAAAATGTAACTAATTGAAATTCTGCACTCAATTTATTAAGTGTAATGTATAAAGCTAAAGTATTTTTCTCATTAGATATTAAAGTGTATTCTAGTACTAGAATCCTGTTTTTGCTTAGTTAAAACTGTTCATTTTTTTTTTTGCATGATCAAGAGCTAAACATCCCATGCTCTGCAAGCAAGGATATATAGGTTGCTTACTAACTATTAAATGTCACTGAATTGCTGTTTGTATTTTCTTCCATTAGTTCATTGAGCAATGGCATTGAAAAAAAAGGAAAGAAAAAATGTTCAGTTGACCTGGCTGAACAATACACAAAATTGAAGAAGGTTCGGAGATTTTCTGACACAACTGTGGTAAGGTTACTTGCATTTTAATTATTTTAAGTCAATTTCTAATTTTCTCTTGGAAGTAAGGGAACCAGAATGACGCATGGTGGTTTTGAGCCTTTGGCTTTTCAATCGAGTGATTTCCCTATTTGCTGTACACATAGAAAGCACAAAGTAGAGAGACATGAGGTCTTTTAACATGAGAAGAAGGGCAACACAATGTGACATATTTTTACCTGACTACAGCGCCTTGACGTTCTTATTTCAATGTGATATTGGGTTCATGTTACAAGCTAGACATTTGGGACCATGTTGGCAAACAAGTGAATGTGTATTTCAATTTACAAAAAAATGTGTTCACATAACACTGACATTTATATTATGAAAGTGGAACAATATTTTTACATGAGCTTGGAAATGCAGATGTTGTCGAGATAGATTCTCATGACTATTCTGCCTTTTTTAAGCAATATATTTTTCATAACTTCCAGGAGAGTGAGAAGAGTAACCAAAGTTACTGTAATTTTCAGGACCAATCCACAGTACTGGATACGCTTGCCTTGGATCTCCCAGGTCCCAAAAGGTAGGCTGTTTATTTTTAATAAAAAAAGAAACATTTCTTTTTTTTAAACACAAACTTGAAGAATTAAATTTCTCCTGGTATATTGCATTATTTAGTGCTTTCTATTTAATTAATATCAAAGACTGTTAAGCATTGGTGGAGTCCTGTACCTCAGTGGTTAGAGCACTTGCTTTGCAAGTGAGAGACCCGAGTTCAATTCCAGGCAGAGGGCGAAACCCTGGGCAAGTTTCCTTACTCCACACAGAGCCTAATAATAATCCCTCCAAAAAAAATAAAATAAATTGGTCATTTTCAATCCATGACTGTTTGTGGGACATGGCTCTGCGCAATTGGCTGCCGCATTCACCCACAAATATACAGTCAATTCACTTTACAGTATATTCTGTGAAGCGCTTTGGGACGTCTAGAAGACGTGAAAAGCGCCAAATCAAATGCAAGGATTATTATTTTATTATTTATACTATAAAATTAGAGTTGCTTCTATTAACAACTTACTTTGCTTATATACTAGGAGACTTGTTGAAAAAACTGCACAGTCTTCTAATACCTCTGATGTAGAATCCATAGGTGCTGCTAGCACTGCAGAAACTACCTCAACTAGTGTGTCTCGGCAGTCCAGGTAATTATTCCAGTCTCCTGTATAAAACAAATCCTGTATTGAAATAAAGCAAAAATAGTAAAGAGCTTATGGTAATTATTTTGCAAACTTGTAATAAGTGGTGTCTGATGTAAGTGTCAAGAAGGCATCCCTAATTGACAGATTCAGAAATGTGTTCCACAATAGTTTAAAGATCTCGTCTTATTGTGCTTAACAGAATGCCATGCCAAAGTACAAATATTAATAGTAACAAAACAGGTTTGCTCTTTTTGCATTCTTCCAGGGAAAAAAAGTTTATTATTACAAAACGAGAGTTCTAATTTGGTTGAAGTAAAATGCTATTTTTTTCAAAATTTGGACTATAAACAAAACATCACTAACCACCTTCATTGACATTCTTACCATAGCCTCTTTGTCAACCTGCATTAAAGGCTGGTCTGTAGAAATCTATTTTGTATTTGGTACATCTAGGAATTATCCCTTGTACTTCATGTTTCTGAAAGTATTCCTATTTCAAGCCCATTTCATACCGAGTCCTATTTTGTTGATAGTTCATTTTCTTGAGAAATCAAAAAAGGGACTTTTCCTTTTCCAGTCTTCCTATATCAAATTCTTTCAATGCTTGTGGACCCTATATTTTTTTTAGAATGTTACATTGGTCTAATTGCTTTTAAATTTTTAACTTGTGAATCTTCATTTTAATTTAGTCTTTCTGGTCCAAGACGGAGAACTCGCACTGGTAGATCTTGGCCATTAACACTGCAGCGTTTAAAAAAGAGACGAGGCCGCACTTCGACGAGAACGTTTCAGCCCCAGACCTCAGAAAGTGGCAATGATAATGAAGAAAAGGATGATTGTCAGTATGAAGGACTAGACCCAGAGATCATAGACATCAATGATCAGGACATGCACCTAAATCATTTGAAATCGTCAATAACCAACTATTTTGGCGCTGCAGGAAGACTTGCCTGTGGTGAAAAATATCGAATCTTGGCACGTCGAGTGACTCTGGATGGCAAAGTGCAGTACCTTGTGGAATGGGAAGGAATAACTGCATCCTGATTCCTAGTAATGTTCCAGTTTCTCTTAGAAGCTTAGTTTATATTGTGAACTCTTAAATCTTTTAAGCCTAATTTTCAGACAAACCGTAAAGTTTACTTATTGTATTTCTTTGCTTATGTGTTTCTAGTAAACTTTATCCCTATGCAACTGAACATTAAACCCTGGGAGTGGGTAATTTTGAGTGTTAAACTAATTAGCCATAATTTTACAAGTTTTCAGGAACCATTTGCAATATTTTACAGTGACTCACTCAGGCTTGATCTCAGCATTTTGGTGCTACTTACAACTGTGTACCTAACGTGATGCCTGCAGAGACTAATTGATCTGTAGGTCTGTACCAAAATTAAGTTGTGTAAATTTTTTATATTGTCTGTAGAGCCGGTAGATGTTTTCAGATTTTTTTAAATGTATTGAATTCACAGGGTGAACAGAGTATTGCCTCTTGATGTGGCAGTACTCTACCTTATTGATCACACTGATACCTCTGGAATTTTAAAAATGTTACCAAGGATTGTTTTCAACTGGCAACTTTTTGTAATGCTAGTGTAAGCAAATGTGTTAGTTATTGCCATTTGTTTTTAAAGGTTGTGAAATGGGCTGATGTAGCCAAAGAATAAACAGTGAAATGCATGTTTTTTTGTCAATGACTGTAAGGATACCGTGGTGTAAATATTGGTACTAACTCTAAACTTGGGATAATGCTTACCTGCTTACTCCCTTTATCTAACAATAATAAACCCTACATAAGGGTGTTATTGAAGGGTCCTCTCTGGCCCTGGCTCTCTGTGTGTGTGTGTGTGTGTGTGTGTGTGGGGGCTCCTCTCTGGCCCTGGCTGTGTGGGGGGGGGCTCCTCTCTCCCCTGGCTGTGTGTGTGTGTGTGTGTGTGGGGGGCTCCTCTCTGGCCCTGGCTCTGTGTGTGTGTGTGTGTGTGTGTGAGTGTGTGGGGGGGTGGCTCCTCTCTGGCCCTGGCTGTGTGTGTGTGGGGGTTGGGGGGGGGCTCCTCTCTGGCCCTGGCTGTGTGTGTGTGTGTGTGTGGGGGGGGGTGGCTCCTCTCTGGCCCTGGCTGTGTGTGTGTGTGGGGGGCTCCTCTCTGGCCCTGGCTGTGTGTGTGTGTGGGGGGGTGGCTCCTCTCAGGCCCTGGCTGTGTGTGTGTGTGTGGGGGGGGGCTCCTCTCTGGCTCTGTGTGTGTGAGTGTACGTACACGGGAGGCGGCTCTGAGCCACCCTCCTGCCGTAACGACCACGCGCATGCGCAGGGCGGGGTACGGCGGCCGGGCGGGACGGCGCTGAACTCTGTCCAATCAGCGGCGCCGGCGCGCGGATCTCAAACGCCGTTGAGAAGCGCGCGAGCAGCAGCCGAGCCACGGCGGACAAGATGGCGGCGGCGGCGGCCGAGGACCGGCTGCAGCGTTTACACCTCACCGCGGGCCGCCAGACCCCGAGCGCTTCGGTTCTCCTCGCGTTCAGCGATTGGTAAAGCATTCCCGCGGGTAATGTAACTCTTTGAACAACGGCGACAGCTTGCGTTTTACACCTGGGCTGGCGTTCTCGGAGCGCTGAACAATGGCGGAGCTAACAACCGCGCGGCGGCCGCGCCGGCGGCGGCCTGGATTCAGAGCCGTCCGTCTTGTCGGGTCGGCAGCTGTCAGGTGGAGCTGAATTTATATTTCACTGCATTCGGAATCTCAAGTGTTTTCGGGGTCGCCGTGTGGGCGAATGAGGAGGTTTCCTTCCAGTCAAACGGGTCCAAGTCAAAAGCGCCGAGAGAGCGGGGACTTAACTTTCCGTTCGTTCAAATCAGCTTCTGGGAGGAGGCGGCGGCGGTGGTGGGTGTGTGTGTTTTTTTTTAAAAAAAGACGATTTTTAGAGGAGAGTTTGTATTGTTTCCTGTTGTTGTTGTTGTGTGTGTGTGTTTTTTTTTCACGACGGGCGGCTTTGGCGGTGTGTGTTTTTAATACCCTTCGCGAATCACTAGTGGTGGTTGTCATGGTTACTGATCAGGCACCAGTGGTCGTTTGTTGGCGATCTGCAATAACTATATTCAGATGGACCGCTCTTCTTGGTGTCTTTTTTTTTATATAGACTATTGCAATGATCGTGATAATAATAATAATAATAATAATCCTTGCGTGTCACGTAGCTCCTCATCGCGTCTTCGAGACGTCTTGTTATTCGAAGCTCAGCGAAGGGGTTCGCAGTCCAAAGGGGTTTGTCGTTGTCCTTTCATGTTGCGCCAAAGGAGAACTGCCTCGTGAATCCTCGAGGTTGTCACTTGTGCTGATTCCGATGCGGGTCCGTGACTTACCCGGCGAACAACATCTTGCAATTATACATTGCCCTTCACGCGGGTAGCGGCTCGGAGTGCACGCGAAGCAGAGTGGGTCGCGGTCATTGGAGGGAAAACCCCAAATAGAAGGTCACCCTGGGGTTGAAAAAACTTGTTTGAACCATCCAAATAAAAGTATAATTTAAATGAGCAAGAATTTTTTTTTAAATTCGCACGGTATTTAAAAGTTTTCTTTACAATGAAAGCCCCCCCCCCACACACACACACACACACACTTCCACAGATGCTCTGTTATGAAATATGCCCGTATCAAATGAGAAACAAAACTGTGATTTAGGGGATTACATAAAGTTGCCGTGAATTTTACTTCGAGGTCTCGCATTAAATTTGTAGTGGTATGCCCATGCAAGATTTGTTTTTTGTAAATGGAAAGCATCTTTCGGTCACTGTCACCATCAGTCTGAAACTGCTCGGTGGATTGTTTGGATGAACCACCAGTTTTTTTTTCATCAACCTAACCTGTGTCAAAAATGCTGGTGCAATGTTAAGTTCTGTCACTGTCACCAAGGATGTGATATCACATTCAGTTGGTTGCTGTGGAGGTTGTCATGGCATTGTTTGTGGAGCACTATGTAAATTCTGTACCATTAAGTTCCTTTTTTGTGTGTTCTTCCCTTCCCCCCCGAGGATACTAACTCTTTGTTGGGATATAGTTTTACAGCTGCTGGCTGCCCTTCAGTACCTTGTCCCAAGTGGCCATTTTTTTATGTGTGAGTTTTGTCAGGATATTAAAGCTTGAGGTGGGTGGGGGGAAATCACAGTAAAGTACCACCTTGTTCACATATGCACACTCTCCAGCAGTAGTCACCGTAATATTGATTTTTTTTATGTCTTGCTGGATGCAGTCTCAGAAGTAGAAGATAATCACAATGTATTCAGCATTGTTAATGACAATTAATTAACTACAATTAAGCTAAATAGAAAAGAGTTTTCCTGATCACACATTTGAAATGTAGAACACCATTCTATGAAAATGTGCAAATGATATTATGCCTTACCATGAATCTGAAGAGGAACTCTGAAAGAAACTACAGATGGTAATCCAGGTCTCATCCCCGCTTCTGAACACACCCTTTACAATTGTCATGATGAAAATCAAATAGCAACAGTTCTCAAACAAACACTACCATGCAAATTCACAACCGCTGCAGAGAACTGTAGTACTAGCAGATGCAGAGAACACATAATGCTTTTGCTTGTCATTTTATCTTCATCTTAATTTCCTTGGTTATTTTATGTGGTAAAAGAAGCCGGGTTCACATCTCTTCACATTTTCAACTGTAAATGTGGCTATCTTTACTTCTGAATTGACCTGAAGGTGGAGCCAACTCAACAGCGTGGCAATCCTTGTGAGCATCAATTTGTAGTGAACTCCTTACAGACAACTTGCAGAATTCCTGGTGCTAACACTGTATTTTTCCCGTCAGTCTCTTATTGTTTATAGCAACAATTTTTGGGGGAGAAAATTATGTATATCTAACTTGATCACATTATCTTACCTGTTTCCTGGTTTTTAGTGGTCCACACATTAAATCCACAAAAAAAGCGTATGCAATACATTTTACAGTTACACTCAACCCCCGGCTAACTGGATTAATGGGGGAGAGAGATTCGGTCTCGTCAGCCGGATTTTTTAGCTAACTTAATGCATTTAAAATAAATATAATGTAAATCCTACCTAATGTTTAAAATAAATAAAAATAAATCCTCCCTAACATTTAAACTGAATAAAAATGAATTTTAAATCAGTAAAATAAACTGCGTGGGTGTGAGCTTGGAGAGTTGGGCTGGCGGCAGTTTGGAATTGTCTACAGGTGGGGTGGATTTTTGACTCACGGAATTGTTTCCAAAAAATATTCCTGACCTGGTCCAGCTAAATCTGAATTCCAGATTCTTGAAGTCTGTTTAAGCTGGGAGTTGAGTACATATAATGCCTTTCGCATCAGGTGGATGTCTCAAAGAGCTTCATATTGCTGTCTGAGCTGCTCGGATGGTGAGAGACAAAGAGAGTGGGGAGGGGAAAGAAGACCAAAAGTACCATCAAAGAGCAAGGTTGAAGCAGGCTTTATATGGCGGAGATGGGGGGACGGGACATTGAAAATGTATTGGCCAGATTGTGTGGGATAAGGCTCTTTTGGGATTTAAAACTGAGAATGAGGATCTAGAGTGCTTAGAATTGTATTTTTTTAAAGTGGAAAATGTTGTTTCTAATGCTTTTTTATCTTTTAAATTGTAATATTAGATAATTGATTTGCAAACGGTCCTCTTTTTAATATGGAATTCGTATATTGATTTGAAAATAATCCTAGTTTGACTGTTAATTACCATATCGTGATTCAATAAAAAGACTTGTAAAGTTAGGAGTTTTTGAAGATGTTTGAAGAGTTTTTTTTGTTGTGTGGAGAAGATCTCAATTTCAAACATTGATTGCTTTGTCTTCCCAAAAGGACAAGTGGATGGAAAATTTGGTGGCTCTGAGGAAGAGGCTGATGAAGACTGAGAAGAGTTTGCAAAGTCTAGGAATAGAAGATAATGGGTAGGATTTTGAATAACATTCATTATTGGTGCTGAAATTAGAATAGTAAATGTTTATTAAATTTTTACTCTTCTTGAATATTACTTGAAGTAGAAGCAAAATACATTTCATATAATTTAATATTACATTTCATATAATTTAATATTATAGCTTAAATAAGCAATAGTATTAGAATTGAGAAGTGCAATATTATTAAGCTGTAAATGCTTAAAAAACTGGGAAAGTTATTTGTTATGTTAACCTAAATGCATGGTTACCTTAAAAATAAAATTATTTTTCTTCACAGTGACGGTTTAAATGACCAGTCTGATAGCTCTTCTCATCAGAATTATGCCCCTGGTTTAACAATGGAAGATCTTTATCAACCTGATACAGTAAATCGTGGGATATGCAATCGCATCATGGCAAACACTGAAAGATCAGTTCCTCAAAAAAATGTTTTCAGCAACATAAGTCCATCCAGCAGTTTAGGCAGCAGGGTAAATACTTAACTTTTGATTTTTGAATGACTCAAATAACAATATTCTAATCAAGTAATCAACTTATTTATTGATGAGGAACTTGTTTTTGTTAAAAGAGTTTTGTTTTTCACATTCGGTAATATTTTGAATAAGGTTGCATGACTTGATATAGGTTACAACTTGGCAAAATATAAAGTTTAGATTAAGCGTAAAAAATGTATGCAGCGAAATATTGTGGCTAAATATGATTAAATATGATGGGTGTACGCTTGCACTGAATGAATCAGAATTTTTAAAATTTGGTTCTACTTGAGTGTTTGACATCTATTTTGCAGTCATTGAAAAGTGACATCTGCTTAATAGTCACTTGGTAGCTTTGTTCAAAGCTAACCTGCAATTATCTGCATTCAAAAAAAACTCTTGTGCAGCTTCTGATGGCTGATGTCACAGATTCATTGACTGATTAATGCTTTAAAGTTCTGGTTTAGACTGGCTCATACTAATTATTACTATGATTAGTACTTTGGATTGAAGTCTGTAATTGTCATTGCAGCATTCCTGCCTTGCAATTTCTAATGCTTTCGCTGCACTTAAAGGGAAAGAAAGGATTGTATTTTTGGGATACTTGCTGTTATTGTGCTTCCCTGGGAATGGTTGGTGCTTGATCATCAATCAGGCTGATTCAAAATGCCTACTTCTTAATTACCTCTTAAGGATGCATACAGTTTGTCCCTTTAACCAGCACAACAGTGTAATTTAACAGCTTATACTACACTTTTCAGTACAGCTAGGATTTATATTGAAGCTATTTCTCTTTCTTTAACTGAAGGAGTACCTTGAGCAAATAGTCTTACTCCTAAACTGCCCTTCAGCTTTAAGATCATATGATCAAATTAATTTTGTAGCATTCAACAACAACAATAACTTGGATTTATATAGTGCCCTCCACGCCGGACGGCATCTCAGAGCGCTTCACAGTAACGGATCCTGGGACCGAACCAGGGGGAGGGGGAGGAAGGTGACCAAAGGCGCGGTCTAAAAGAAAGGTCTTCAGCAGAGACCTGAAAATAGGAAGGGAGGGAGCAAGAAGAAGGGAATAAGGAAGGCAGTTCGAGAGTCTCGGGGCATAGTGGCTGAAGGCACGGCCACCGAGGGTGGAGCGGAGGACTCGGGGGACGAGGAGGAGGCCAGAGCCAGATTCACAATGTGTTTGTATTTTTAGGTACCGCAACATCCAGTCTCTTCAGCTATTGAACAAGAAAAAGACCAAATGCGGAGAAAGCTCAGCTCACTTCGAGAGGACAATTCCTCTTTGGTTTCCCAGAATCATTGTTTGGTAAATGAGATTGAGTCTGTACGATATGAACTGACACAGTCAAAAAACAAGGTGTGTAGCCCAAACAGAAGTACTGTGTATCACTTGAGAAAGAGTCAATTGATTTATGTCCTGAAATTGTGTATTACAGCATAGTATTTGAAATTGTTTATTTCCTATGTGAATTCAGGGGAGTTTTATTTTGTTGTCAGTCTCTGTATAACTTTATTTCTTTCTCTTCCTCTTTCTAACTGTTCATAAATGCTTAACTTAATATTACTGGCAAAAAAATATCCAGTTGCAAGCATGTGTGCGAGATTAACCTGCACTTTGTAGATTAGTAACCCACTGTGCAATTTCTCAATTCTTGTGTGTGTTTTTCCTCAATATCGTATAGCATTATAATAATAATAATAATAATAATCCTTGCATTTGATATAGCGCTTTTCACGTCGGGAGGACATTATACTGTATTCAGTGCATAAATATAAGACACGTAGCAATTTTAAAACTATTTTAGGGGCTGGGGAAATGCCTTGTATTTGGAACGATATTGTACTCTAGGAATACATGAACTTGAATTAATATTTTTTAAAATATTTTCTTTGTAACAACCTTCATGGCGGATAGGCTAACCAAAAGCTTCATCTATACCAAGTTTCAGTCTCAAAGTTAGATGATATGAAAACATATTTTTATTGTTTATTCATTGGGGGAGCAGGCAGGTTGGAACAATGAACTGTTGCTGAAGAAGGAAGACTGGATAACATATTAAGATTTGAATAAGAATGCCCTAATCCATTTAAATGATGAGAATTTTGCAAGGAAAATTAAGTTTATTGTGAGGTTTTACAGTTGTACAATTGTATAATTATAATTTCAGATTCGCTATCTTGAATCAAATATTGATGCAAATGCACAGAGTGTCCCTCAGCTAAAAGAACACATCTTGGGTTTGGAGTCAGAGGTTGAGGCTCAGGAAAAAGCTCTCAGGTAATATGCAAAACAATGCTCTTCCAATTGAGTCATTTGCAAAGCATGTACTCCTAATTCTCTGGCTAAGATGTCTTGTGAACTGCAAATGTAATAAAAATACATTAGTTTTCAACAGCATTCCCTGGCTGTAGTATTTAAGGCTGATTCTAGGTAGACTTAAAGATTGGTGCTTTTGTGGGTATAGAAGTGTGAGCATTTCCTTGCTCCCTTCATCATGTTTGTGGAGTCAAATTATTGTGGTGAAAGTGATCTATCTTTGTATTTCAATACTGATGAAAATACTTAACATCATTAGAGTTTGACATTTTGCTCAAAATTTAAAAGCTCCTATGTAACTATGATGGGTTATTCCTCCCCCATCGTTATGATGTGATTTTGTTAGCAATACATAATTTTAAAATTGGATGCATCTATGTTACTATTTGTATTGTTTCCAGTGAATTGGCAAGCTTTTCATTACTGTCGCTGCCATTGACTCCTTTTGTTTGTCTTTTTTAATAAGAGATGCTGAAGAAAAATTGGAGGAATGTCAGTGGATGGTGGCTGAAAAAGACAAGTTCGTTGAAAAGCTAACGGATGAATGCAGTAGATTGAAGAATGACTTATTTGAAAGAAGTAAAAGAGGAAAAAGGTAATAGACATTTGAGAGTTTATTTTGTGAAAATATTATTCCACATTGTTCATAAAGCCCTAGTTTAAGAATACAAGTTTAATAGCATAATTAAAAGACATAAGGGAATGAAATAAGAGGCCAGAAATAATAACCATGTGGGAATTAAGAAGATGCTTATGGATCTCTTGCCAGCAGACTTGTCCTGCTTGAATGAGGTTTTATCACTGAGTTATAGGTGCAACACACTGATGCATTGGCATTTATGGAGAGCCACCTAATATCTTATTGACTGTCAATATTAGAGTCAGAATTATTTTGTTTTAAACAGAACTGAACAACAAAGAAATGAAGCCCTTTTTAATGCTGAGGAAATATCTGCAACTTTTAAAGAGTACAAGGAAAAGACCACTGAGAAACTTTCAAGGGTAAGAGTTCACGGGCATTCATTGTAAATAGCAAATGTGCCTAAACATGAGTGCTTGTCTTCTATGTTAACTTTTCTTTTTGGATTATAGTTTGAAGCTGAGGAGGAGGAATTACAGAACAGCCTGGTTCACTTCAATAGGGAAAGACAAGAATTGTTAGACAGATTTACTTCCTTTGAAAAGGAATTGGAAAACAAGAATGAAGAAACCAGGTTAACACAATTTATTTCTGTCGAATCCTTTTGAATTTTTATGAAGAAAAAGTATTATTGCTCACTTTGAATTCATTGTGGTTCTAATGTTAATGCCTTCATGCAGCTGTGTTGACTTGTTCTCTTTCCCTCATATTTTAAAAGTGGTAGAAATTAAATTGGTATGTTATAAAAGAACAGTGAAGCCGATTTCCTTTTCCCTCCCCAACCAATTTTATTCTCTATTCCTCAATTTGAAAGCAGTTGGATACCATTCCAATGGTGCCCATTGCCCCCTGTAAAAGCCATCATAACCAGACCCAATGATGTCCCAACATAGTAAAATAGACATTTTCAGCACAGAGGGATAACATCATGCTGCCTGATGCTGGCCCACACTCGCCTTGAAGCAATATAATCTATTTGTTCCCATTTCCCATTGATTCATGCTGTACATACAAATGAGCTGTCCAACATGGGATTGTTAAATCAGGCCTCAGTGCTTTGCTGTGAAAACAACTTCTATTGGCTGCAGTGCTGTCCTTCCATTGTGTCAACCTGGCTCAGTGGTAGCACCTATATCTATCCGAGTTATTTTTGAAGTGTGTTTATTCTTCAAACAAATGAATATTGAACACAATGCCACACTCCATCTATGTGTGTCTATGTATATGTGTGTGTGTGTGTATATATATATATAACCACATATTAGTAATGGTTTTACAAATTTGTTCTGTTTTTTAGGCATCTTATGAAAGAATCTTACAGTTTAAGGGTGGTTCAAAAGGATCTGGAGGCTAAAAATGCAGAGATGTTTTCACTTCTGTCTCATGCCAAGGAAAAAATTGTAATGTTAGAAAGAGAATTAGCCAATAAAGAAGCCCTTTTAAAAGACCGAGATGCCTTAAGGATGGAGAATGTGGAATTAAGATCACTTACAGCTTGCCAAAGTGACCGATTGCTTCAGTACTGCAAAGAAGTGGAGAATGCCAAATCAGAGTGCAGGAACCTGGAGTCAATTATGCAACTACAAAGGAAAGGAAATCCAGAGGTAACCTTAAAAAAAATCTATACTCCTGTTGTAACCTCCTTGAGACGTTGTTTTTCCCTCAGTTTAAATTTAGAATTTTCTACATGTATCTGAAAATGAACTGTTTTCTTGATGTTTTTATCTTGCATAGTCTATTTGTGTGGTCTTTCTCCATAACTGTACAAGGGATTGTGAGAGCTGAGGTGCATCTTTATCTGTATTGAGAGTGAAAATTGCAATTGGTGAAAGATAAGAGTGTGCAGCATTTCATGCAGATTAGTTTAGTGGGACAATACGATTGGCAGATGTTTGCTATGACTTCAATTGCAACCACCAAAGGTTCTTACTTGGAATGTTTGGAATGTACAAACTGAACATTTTGCCTGAATCTATAACATGGGCCATATATAAGATTCCTTTAGTATTGATTCATACTTTTGCAATAATGATCATGTATGTATGTGTGTGTGTATAATTCTCATGCGAGAGTTTGCCTTCCTGTGGGGAAAAAAAGTCCAGTTTCTGCTTGCTAGAAATTGCAAAAATAGAGTCGTGTAACACGTTAATGTAAATAGAAAATGTAAGGTTCTAGAGTCTAGCTGTTCTTGTCTTGTAGGGAGATAGCGGGGTGTATAGTACAGGACTGCCTGGTTCAGAATTCTCTGATACCTTTTCATCCACGAGAAAGGAAAATGGTGTAAAAGACCCTGGTTTCTGCACTGCATCCAATGACGCTTACTGTGGAGATCACAGGTATTTTCTTAAATTGCTAACAACAAATCAGAAATGAATGTAGACCATCATATCTCAGGATTGCACTATGTTTGAAAGTTTACTTCTGTTTTGCCTGGTTTTAAAATTGTGCTGTTCACTTGCGATTGAATAAAAATAGGTGATGAACCGTTAATTACATTAACACTGACATGAAAGAATGGACAAAAAACCTCACCAGTTTTGGGAACAGTATCAAGTCTTTATCAGACAAACTTTATTGAGGGTTGAGGGGTTAGGTGCAAAGGAAAGGTCTTTGTTCTGTTTCTAATTTGGAGTAAAATTATTCTCTTTTAGGATGAAACTATCGAACAAAAATTCTGAAATTCAGAATCGACAGACTGGGCTGATCAATAGCAAAGCATCACAGCAACGATGCAGTGCTAACTTAGGTCGAGGTGGTGACGTGTTGGATAGTCTAAACTCAGAACATGTTACGGATAGAAGTAAGTTTGGACTGTGAAGAATTTGCCCACAAGTTAGGATTTTCCTATTTCTTTCTGTAACTGTTAGGCATGTTTTTGTGAATCACTAATTCTAACACTTTATTAGATGACAGAAAGTCCCAGGAACCGCTCATTTCCAATTATGAAGAAGAACGACATAGAAATATAAGAGAAGTTGAGGAGCTTCAGACCAGATTGTTGGAAGCAGAAGCTACAATCTCAACTTTGCAGGCTCGTATGACGCAGAAGATTAATCAGTTTCAGCAGTTGCAAGAGGAATTGTTGGAAAAGAACTCATACACTGCAAATATAGAACAAGAAGTGAGTAGTTTCACATAAACATTACGGAAAAACATGCTGATCACATTGTCATTCCAAGACATTCATAATTCATGGAAATAATAATCCTTGCATTTGTTATAGCACTTTATCGCATTGTCGAGGCGTCTCAAAATGCTTCACAGGATATACTGTAAAGTAGATTGATTACATTTTGTGGGTGAAACTTGCCAGACAGATTGCGCTCAGCAGTGTCCCACACGCAGCCATGGAGTGAGTGACCGATGTGGGGCTTGACCTGACAACCTTCTGACTCAGATAGGAGAGTGATACCACTGAGTTTGGATGACGCATAATCTGATCGTAGCTTTTGGAATGAAGTCATGTGGATGCATCATAGATGTTTTTCTTGTCAATCAGTGTATTATTTCATTAAAAACTGGGTTTGCCTATAACCTGTTCTCTATGCTGAAGAAAAATACTTTTAGATATTTTGAAAACATATATGAGTACTGAACCAGTAGCTAAAAATTACTAAGGTGGAAATTCTGGTTTTCTGTGGCCATACAATCTACCTCTGAACTTTCACAAGACATGGTTAGGCTGCAGTTGGAGTGTTTTTGGGAACACCATTGTGGGGAAATTTTTTTTGTGATTAACTAACCAGAATTAGATTATCTTTTTAGCTAGCTGCAACATATCTTACACTTTATTAGTCGTGAACATAATTGCTTATTTCAACATACCGGTTATGTGCATTTGTTCTGTTTGACAGTTGAAAAAGATGAAATCGCAGGCTTCTACAGTGGAGAAACAGTTGGAGGAGAAGACCATTGCTTACTCAACGGGTGCTGCAAAAGCAACTGAATTAGAACAAGAGCTTATAGTAAGTTATGGAAAATTGGAATAAATAGTAAATGACAAGCCATTAACCGAAATTGGGTTGTACAATATATGCCTTACATATGTCATTGCTAAGGTGGTGGGTTTTTGGTTTCCAGATGGTCTTTATTATGCTCCTCACAGATGTGAAAAGAACTTGATTACAATCTGTAGATATTGCAATTTATCTGTTTTAGTTTAACATCGAAAACGTTTATTTAGAACCTTGACAAATATGTTCTCCTGATGTGACTTCTAGATGTGCTGAACAATGAAATTCCGCTTCTGTGAATTTCATTCCTGCCATTTTTTTATTTCCCAAAAATGTTTTACCCTCGCTCGCCTCCACTGGCTCCCCATCCCCCAGAGGATTGATTTCAAGATCCTCATCCTCACCTACAAGGCCATTCACGGCCTTGCTCCCTCCTACCTCTCCAACCTACTATCCCCCTACCTACCTGCCCGTACCCTCCGTTCCTCTGGCTCCGGTCTGCTCACGTCCCCCGCCCCAACCGCCCTACTATCGGTGGTCGGGCCTTCAGCCTCTCAGCCCGAGGCTCTGGAACTCCATCCCCCAGTGCCTTCGCCTTGCTTCCTCCCTTTCCTCCTTCAAGGCCGGTCTCAAAACCTTTCTCTTTGACCGTGCCTTCAGCTCCCCTCTCGACTCTCTTCCTCCTCCTCGTTCCCTCCCTTCCCTCCCTCACCCTGACCATTTCCCCCTCCTCTCTCCCTCCCTTCCCTCCCCTCACCCTGACCATTTCCCCCCTGCTCGGGTCATGACCCAACTGTGCAGCGCCTTGGGACGTCCTCCTGACGTGAAAGGCGCTCTATAAATGGAATCTTGTTGTTGTTGTTGTTGTTAGGAAAAGAATAAAGACATTTGCAATTTGGAGAGAATGGTAAAGGACCAACATGAAAATGAAATTGCAGAACGTGAAAATATTAGGAAAATCCACATTGAACAATGCCAAGAACTGGAAAAACAGATTGAAATTGTGAGTTTTTCTGCTGCTTATTTTTAGTTCCATGAAGTTTATTGTGCTGTTAAGGTCCTTAAGTTTCAAATTATTAAAAGTTACTTACTTATAATCTTTGGAAGCTTAAATGTAAGAAGAAAATATGTTCATGCAGGAAAAGGAACATGAGCCATAAAACACTCTGAATGAGAAATGGACAGCTGATATGTTTTTAAGATGTTTTTGAAGTGTCTGCTTGGAGGCGCATCAGAACTGGAATATATCTCTTTGGTCAGTTAAAGGTGTTATTAACATCTGTTTTACTTTTGTTTGTAAACTAAGGTTCAAAATCAGCTGGAAGAAAAGTTTCTGCAGGTGAAGAAGCAAGATCAAACCATATGTGCTCTTCAGGAAGAAATCTATTCCCGGCAAAACAAAATTGAGACATTGGAAACGATACTTCAGGAAGCCAGAGAGGCAAGCTTGTATTTACAGATTTTATTTTTCATAAACTACTTTAGTCAATGGATGATTGGGCAAGTACTAATTTTCTATTGTTTAAATATTTCATCAATAAGTTAATACATTTAATACACACTAAATACTTTTAATACACTCTAAATATGATGGTTTGAAATGGCAACTGATAATAATAATAATAATCCTTGCATTTGATATAGCGCTTTTCACGTCAGGAGGACGTCCCAAAGCGCTTCACAGAACACACTGTAAAGTGAATTGACTGTATATTTGTGGGCGAACGCGGCAGCCAATTGCACACAGCAGTGTCCCACAAACAGTCATGGATTGAAAATGACCAATTTATTATTGTTTTTTTTAATGATAATGAGCAAGGCAGAGTTTCTCTGATGGTCTAATGCAATGGTGGCCAAAAAAATCAATTTTCTTGATTAAATATTGTTTTATGCCATGAATCAAGAAAAACACGGAAATACACTACCAATCAAACATGGACTTACCTTGCCTAGTGCGATCTCAGGCTGTAGTTTGGGCAGCACTGGTCTACTGGGTAAAGACATTGCCCAATGCAGCAAATGGCCTTTACAGACCAGAAAGTTTTGGTTATGGCATTGGATGGTGTTTAGGCAGTTCCTGGAACCCTAAGGTTGGTTGCATTCTTTTGACTAAAAAATGAAGCTCCTGTACTGTGTATTTATTGCAATTGGATTTGTTAACATTTTTAAAGGTGGCATCTACTAGATCCACCTTTACCAGTTGAATACCATTTATTAACTTACAAAAATGTTTTTGTTTTATTTTTATCTGTAGAAGACAGAGGAACAAAATAAAAGAAATGTTGCAGCTTTAAAAGCCTTGCAGAACGAAACAGAAGAAACAGCTTTCAAAGTCTGTAAACCCTATAATCCTAGATTCTTTTAATTTAAGGTTATTGTATTTACAGTTTAATGTGTGGTAAACGTGTCTCTCCATGTAGTCTTGTGACAATGGAAGATTAACATACATACTGATGCATTCAGTCACATCATTTCAAAATTTAATTAAATGCATGCGTGTGTCCCCTTATAAACTCCAAAATCGCCTTTATTTAAGATTTAAAAATGTTTGACAATGTTTTAACTTTCTGAATTAACAAACCAGGTTCGAGAACTGGAAGCAGCATTGGCTCTTTGTAACGAAGAGCTGAAAGCACAAGTACAGCAAATGAAAGGGGAACGGACACATTTTGAAAAACAGCAGAGCAAGAGGTCTGAAGAGGTAAACAGAAGTGACTTTTTTAATATCTACTAGACAGTAAATGTACAGTATCCCTCTTTGTATGCTTTTTAGGAATTGTCTAGGGCTTGCACTGTATATGTTTCCTTTAGTGGCACATATATGTGAGGCAGGACACTGAATCTCAGCAGGATATTTAACAACACTCGCACAATATTCATGTAAACATACATCCAGTATGTGAGTGAGAATAAATAAGAGTCAGGAACAAGAGTCCTAGGTATTTCCTTTCCTTTGTTAATTGAGGAACTGTAGAACATTATTAAGATTGCCCTGTTTGCGATTTAGCTACACAGCAGAGATCAAAGAATTTAGAAGAATTAGAGGTGATCTTATAGAAATCTATAAGATTCTTAAGAGTCTTGACAGGGTAGATAATGTGAGACTGTTTCCACTGGTTGTAGAATCGAAAACTAGGGGTCATAGTCTCAGGATTAAAGGTCAGCCCTTTAGAACTGAGTTCAGAAAACATTTCTTCATTCAGAGGGTAGTGAATTTATGGAATTCTCTACCCCAGAAGGCTGTGGATGCTTAGTCATTGAACATATTCAAGACTGAGATTGATAGATTTTTAAAAACTAAAGGGATTAATAATAATAATAATCCTTGTATTTGATATAGCGCTTTTCATGTCTTCTAGACGTCCCAAAGCGCTTCACAGAATATACTGTAAAGTGAATTGACTGTATATTTGTGGGCGAACGCGGCAGACAATTGCGCACAGCAGTGTCCCACAAACAGTCGTAGATTGAAAATGATCAATTTATTATTGTTTTGTTTATTTGGAGGGATTATTATTAGGCGTGTGGATTAAGAGATATGGGGAAAGGGCGGCTAAATGGAATTAGGTTAGAAGATCAGTCATGATCTTATTAAATGGCGGGGCAGGCTCGAGGGGCCGAATGGCCTACTCCTGCTCCTAATTCTTATGTTCTTTGGGAGCACTTTGAGACGTCCTCCCGACATGAAAGACACTCTAAAATATAATTTTGTTGTTGTTCTTAAACTTGAATGAATATTTCTATTGTAGGAGATAATTAAACCTTTATCTCTAGAGAAAATTATACCAACCAGTTAATTTCTTCTCTCCTTCATACATGTGTGGGAGGAGGAGGAACAGAAATAATGCTAGAACAAATCATGAGAGCAAGGAGATTACTAATTGTACCACTGTTTCTATATATATATATATATATGTGTGTGTAATGTAACGTTTGACTTCTGCTTTCAATTTTAAGAAAAATGAGTGTGACCTGCCCTAAATACTGACCTGCCAAACCATTAACAAAAATGTAGCTGCAGGAAATCTGAGTGTTTTTTACACTTATTTTTGAAGGTGCGTCACCTGCAGAAAGACCTGAAATTGTCCACCATCAACCTACAGGAAACAAGCGAACAGAATGTTCAATTCCAGCAGTCCTTAAAGCAGCATCAGCAGATGTTACAGCAGGGTACCACCAGAATTGGAGAGTTAGAGGACTGCCAAATGATGCTTGAAAGACAGGTAATAGCTTTGAAAATAAACACTTTCCTGGATTGTATTGTACTGTAGTAATGTAAATGTAAAATCTGGGTTATGCAATAATATGTTTGTGAAACAGGTTTCCAAACTGGAACAAGAATTACAGAAGCAGAAAGGGTTGTCAGGGGAAGAGCTTGCAAAAGCAGAAGAAAAGCTTTACCAGGCCTGTCGTGATGCAGAGTACAAAAAACAACAAGTTACTGATCTTAACAACACTATGAAGTAAGTTGTGTTGATTCATTTCTCCCAAGAAATGGTGGTATTAAAAACCAAACCTAATTTTGTGTACTCCTGTCATTCAATTTTAATTAGTAGTTCTGAAAGATCGCCAAGCTGAATTTGGATTTCCTGTAACATTTTGCAAATGTGAAAAGATGGATTAAGCACTTTATCTTTCAACAATGGGACCTGAATTTAAATATTTTGAGAAGAACATTTTCTTCCTGTTAGCTGTAAAGGTTCAGTGGTTTACCATTTTTATGTGGTGTTCTCTTTTTGTCCTTAACATACTTAGAATCATTACCATAAACAGTAGCTCTATATGATGGGAACACTTGTTACCATTTTGAGTGCTGTACTACTAAGATAAAGTGCTTAATCCATCTTTTCACATTTTCAAAATGTTACAAGAAATCCAAATTCAGCTTAGCCTGACCAACCTTTCTGCCCCCACTCTCTGGAACTCCATCCCAGAATTCCTTGACCAAGCTCCTTCCCTTTCTTCCTTCAAGGGCCATCTCAAGACCTTCCTCTTTAACCGTGCCTTTGTTCAATAGGAAGATCTTCCACCCCCATCCCTCTTGGCTCCCAACTCCAATTCCAACTCCGAACTCTGGTGCAAACTCTTGACTGTCCAGTGCTTTAGGACATCCTCCCGATGTGAAAGTATAAATGAAATTTGTTGTTGTATAACAGCTACTACTTTGTAGTCTAAAAAAATTATTATGGAGGAGTTCCACCCCAGGTTTGGGCTGAGTGTAATCAACTTAACAGGATGCATGCCTCTTCTAACTCTGCAAATTGTTAGGATTCAATGTGAAATAAAGTTGTGGGAATCTATAAGCAAACTTTGTATGGGTAATTGACGCCCTTTTTATCTTTCAAAAAATAACCTTAGGCAATGACTGTCTTATGACTGTCTTACAACTAATATTTTTATATGACCTGAGTCTAACAAGTATTTGTGCATTTAGTATAACGAAAGCACACAGAACGTCTCATTTGGGTATTGCATGAATTTTTATGGTATAATCTTTCATGTATTTTTATTAGTTTTTCTGACAATGTTCACTTCTGCTGTGTTTTTCTGTGTTGATCAGGAAATTAAAGATAGAAATGAACGAATGCAAAAATGAATTTACTGCTTTAGAAACTGAGCTTCTGCAGCTGAGACGTGATAGTGCGAGCAATGAAATTCAGCTTAACCAGCTGGAGATGAGTCTTCGTGAGACACAGATAGAACTGGAAAAGAAGTCTGACCAAGGTTGTAGTGAACAAATTTTGTATTGCGTGTGTGTATGTATATCACTTAATTTATATTTCAATAGAAAAAAAAGTCAAACTATAGTACTTTAAGAAAGATATTCCTTTTTTTAATGAATCTTAATTTGTGATTCACAGGTGCTGTCTAGTTCAATAAGTTTTTTTTTAAAAATTAAGTTTAGTAACTTATATTGCCTTTAAGGAAATTCTGAGTAAGGATAAGGGGAACATTTGGTAGTTGTCATACATGATTTTAACGGGCTTCCACTGTTACCTTGAAACTGTCTTCTGTGATAACCACTACCTGTGATATGTTGACTGGTTAAATACAGCAGCATAATAGTGTGGGGTTTTTGTTGCGTGTGCTAAAGCTATGTCATTTTGTAACCTGTGGTAGTGATTGATCTGGAAGAAAGGCTGCACAAGACTGAGGCAGAGCGCAAGAATTCATTGCAGCAGAATCAGGAGATGGATTTGCACTTGAAAAATATGCGCGGTGAATTGCAAGGCACTTTAAATCAACTTCAGGAGTTACGAGATGTACTTCAAAAAGCCCAGAACAGTATTGACGATAAGAATGACACAATTGAACAGCTCACTACTGAATTTAGGTGAGTTGTTCCTTATCCAAGAATCAAGGAGTGAACTGCTTGGATATTGATGCTGAAGAAAAATGGACTTGGACTGAGTTCATTCAGTTTTTCTATCAATTTCTTCCTTTAAGATTTTTGATCATAATCATCAATGCTGCAAAGTCTTACAATATGTGTACATGCTTGCATGTCATCAACTTTTTTTTATCTTGGACAATTTGATTTTAGACTAGCATAATCTGCTTGATTATAGGTTCTAACGGGGCCATTCTGTATGCATTTTACGGATTACCGATCGATGTGACATTATCTATTTACTAATGAACAAAGTCTTGGCAAATTAGGCCAGGAAGAGAAACATTTTAATTTAATGACATAACTGAAGTGAACTAGTACTGTTTTTTTAAAATGATATAATATAAAGTGTTTCAGTACTTTAGTAAGATTTTTGCAACAAACAACACATTTTTTTATATTAGCCAAGGATGAGACTTAACAATGAATACCCATAATATTAGTCCAATAAACAAGAGTTTAAAAGGTACTTTTAAACATACCAAATTCCTTTATTATGCAATTACGCATGAGGTTTGAGTGGGAGCGGTAGATGTCCATTATTTTGCAGCTCTCAAAATGAGCGAAAAACATTTTTTCCTTTATCACTGAAGATTATGAAGTACAATTAAATAAAGCTTAATTAATAATAATCCTTGCATTTGATAACCTTTCACATTGGGAGATCATCTCAAGGTGATTCACAGGATATACTGGAGTGGAGTCCTGTAGCTCAGTGGTTAGAGCACTCGCTTTGCAAGCGAGAGACCTGAGTTCAATTCCAGGCAGGGCGAAACCTTGGGCAAGTTTCCTTACTCCACACGCCTAATAATAATCCCTCCAAAAACCCAAAACAATAATAAAATTGGTCATTTTCAATCTACGACTGTTTGTGGGACATTGCTGTGCGCAATTGGCTGCCGCGTTTGCCCACAAATATACAGTCAATTCACTTTACAGTGTGTTCTGTGAAGCGCTTTGGGACGTCCTCCCGACGTGAAAAGCGCTATATCAAATGCAAGGATTATTATTATTATTATAAGTGTTTTGATTGTATTTTGTAGGCAAACTCATTAGCCACTTTGTGCACATCAGTATCCCACAAACAGATGAATCAATGAATGAACTATTCACATTGAATCAACTATTCACAGTAGTTTCTGTTGAATGGCCATCTGCACTGTACAACAAGCTCCCTTCTGAGCAGTTTGATTAGTATAGACATGCACATAATCTACAGCTGGCAGACATGAAATATTCTATCAAAAGACCACCTGCAACAGGGAGGTACACTTCTTAGTTCCAACAATATACCAATTTTAGCCCATGTAAAACACTTTCCCTTTTTTTCCAGTACTGTGAAAATTCAGATTCCCAAACCAGGGCACCTTTACAGACCACTGATTTAGTTTGCTTATAGATTCCCACAAGTTTAGTTTGCTCTTGATCAACTTTATTTCACATTGAATCCTAACAATTTGCAGAGTGAGAAGAGGCATGCATCCCTTTAAGTTGGGTACACCGAAACTCAAACCTGGGGCGGAACTCCATCATAATAATAATAATAATTCTTTACATTTGGTATAGCGCTTTCACATAGGAAGGACGTTCTAAAGCTCTTCACAGAATATACTGTGAAGTGCAATGTCTCTGCATTTGGGTGAACTTGGTAGCCAATTTTGTGAACAGCAATGTTCCACAAATAGTCCTGAAATTAATGATTGTTTTTATTTTGGGGATTGGTGGTCAACATAAAACCACTAAAGAAATCGAGTTTCGAATGATAAATAGAATTTTTCACAATAGCAGTATGTCAGTCTAGAGGTGGTGAGGTATTGGGAGGTTATAGACCAATAAACAACACACCTCATGATTTCTATCAGCGAAGCACATGGTCAACCAAATTGAAGCCTCTTACTGAAAAATTTGCTCATTATTCTGAGCTAATTGGAAGGGGGAAGAGAATTTATATGGGTACACACACGTTCAGACTCAAAATCTTGAAGTGCTTGATATTTATTGTAACTGAAGTTCTTGTTTATTCTGAAGGTAGTGATAAGAAACAAAATTCCATTTATTTAGGCAATGAGTGTTTTCTATAGTGTATTTGTTTTTCACGCAAGTCTAAATATAACTGAATCCTGAAAATGCTTATAAATTGAAATCCTTAAAAACTGTTGCGGCAACAATGTTGTTTCTCATTTGCCAACCACTGTAATTTTTTTTCCACATGTCCCTACGCAGAATGGAGCATTTTTACTTTTAACATTCATCTGATGGGGTCAATATGTTATTTTTCACACAGTCTTCTCTTTGTACCATTTGAAAAGCAAAATGAATCTCAGCATTGTAGAATGCTTTATGTTATGATAACTATATTAGAAATGGAAGATTTGTAACTTGTCATAAATGACGCAAAAGAGGAATGGAATTTTTTAGTGCTTGATCTCGTATGGGTCATGTGGAAACTATCTCGGAACAGTTTTGTGTTGGGTACTTATGGCAAGATTTGGTCATCCTTTTTGAAGCATTTTATGTTTTAAATATGATGCAATTCAAATAATGTATATGTCGTGAGACAAATTGGTTGTCTGTTAGCCAAAATGTATTATTCTTCCAATCATCAATTTTCTCCCTATATACTATTAAATGTATAGGGACATCTCTTGATGGATAATGTGAGATTCTGACACAGAAGTAAATGGCGATTTTTTTTCTTCTGCACGGAAATTATGAAAAAGTTGTATAGCTGCTCTGTGCTGAGTTAGTTGAACGCAGCCAAGGCAACAGTAAATATGTTCCTCAGCATCCCGGGGCAAGTGAAATCAGGCACGGTTCCCATTATGATTACCATTTAGGAACCTTGCTTGAACATGCTTTGTGTGGATATTGAGTGAGGATGTCTTTATAAAAGAACTTTCATTAGCAATGAATTCTATTGTACAACAAAAGTTTTAAATTCAAAATGGGCTATGTGTGTGCTTTAATAGTGCCCTATGTTACTACTTAAAGGGCTAAATTTCATCCATATTGGGAAAATTAAGGTGTTTTACATGTGGTCAGGTTATGTAGCAGTTAGTCCTTTGGCACCCCCCTGAAATTGAATTATTTCAAAGACATAGCAAGCTTCTACCATTTTAGTGAACATTTTTTCTTTTCTTTTACAGGGAATGTCAAAATGAATTGCAGAAGAGGGATAAGGAGGTGTATGACATGGATCAGGCACTTAAAGATAGACAGAGGGAGCTCAAGCAGAGAGCAGCTCAGGTAGAATGGATAATGATAATAATAATAGTTGTTGTATTTGATATAGCACCTTTTACGTCAGGAGGGTGTCTTAAAGGAATTCATAAGATAAATCACAGTAAGAAGTGTACACTGTATTTTATAGGTGAATGCAGCAGACAATTTGCACAGAGCAGTGTTCCACAAACAACTCTGAAATGAATGACAAATTTTATATTTTAGAGGATTGTTGTCCAGGATACCAAGAGAAGCCCCATTCACTCTTTGCATAGTGCTATGGGAACCTGAACAGATAGACAGTTTAACATCCCCTCCAAAGGACAGCATCTCTGACAATGCAGCTCTTCCCCAGCAGTGTGGAAAATGATCTCAGACTGAATTCAAATTCCCAACGTGGGACTTGAACCCACAACCAGCCAGGCTGACACCTGCATTCTTTTGAAACTTTTTTTACATTCAAGTCAATGGAGGATATGCAGTGCTTTGCTCCTAGTTTAAATCAGACTTTGTAAACACTAAATTATTGATGTAAATGTTTTATTCCTCAGCTTACACAATTGGATTTGAATATTCATGAACACAAAACTGAGACTGAGCAGAAAATTATTCGTTTGCAAGGTGCTTTGGAGAAAGCTGAGTTGATTGTTAAAGAACGCAGTAAACAGGTTTGCTATCCTACATACCCTTCTCCGAGACAGTGTTTTCACTAATATCATTATAGTCACTAATGTCATTGGAGTAATGGTCTCAGCTGTATTTTTATCATGTTATTCTGTTGATAGGTAGAAATCCTGGATGAAAATTTACAAATTACAAAAGATCAGTTACGTGAGAGAGAATTTGAATTACTACAAAAGGAGCAGCAAATAAACCAACTGAAAAGTGACGTAGAAGGAAAGCACCAGAGAATTGAAGAATATGAACAGGTGACTAACTGCCAATGTGTAAATCTCTTCTGATTCAGAATAAATTGAAGCTAATGTAGAAAGGTAATTTTCTTTAACCCCAGAATAAAAATAACTCGAATGACAGAGATGTTTATCAGATACTTTATCCTTCTGATTATCTTCATTGCTTAGAGCAACAAGGTATTATTTTGTAGTTGTCGAGCAGTAAAATGACTTTTTCCGTAGTTTTATAAAACAATTTAAAGACATGATGATTTAGTAACTGTTCTCTGACGCACATGATAACTTGGAGCCTTTGTGCTGTTTGGTATAATTTACTTTATTCAGACACTGAAACATAAGGAGCAGTGTATCGCAAAACAGCATCAGGAAGTTTTGGGTGAAGGCCAGCAGGTACGCTTAGCTCGTGAACTAATGCAGCGTACCCATCTGGAATTGACGGAGGCTCGACAGCAGCTAGCACAAGCCCAAAGGGAAATGGACTATCTCACTCGGGAGCTAAACGAAACTATTCAACTCTCGCATGAAAAGGTAACTTGTAACCTGGCTAACAGAAGGAGACTGTGGTTAGGTAATCTCATTTAAACACAGTCTTTAGCCTTATGTCATCTCCAGCCTCTCTGCAATTGGAATCCCTCCACAGGTACCGCTCACAGCAATTGAAAGACAAGCCAGGATTGTGCTCTGCTCTTTCTTCCGTCTGTGTGCGAGTGGAGGGAAAGGGAGGAAAAAACTTTTAATTTTATTTATAGGTTTGTTTTCTAAAAATTCTGTTGTGTTTTTATAAAGGCAATGAGGATGTATTAAAAGGTTCAGTGTCCTGTGGCCTCATTTCTGATGCCAGCTTTTCAAACTTTTACAGGAGGCTCGTGCTGCTCATCTGGCAGAAGAGTTGGGTGCTGCTCAGGCTCGTGAGACTCAGTTAGAAGTCAGAGCACAGGCAGAGATAAACAAGTTTAAAGAAATGGTTGAAAGTTTGAAGGATACTCACCAGAAAGAGGTAAGATAATATTTTTTACAGAAGAACAATTTTGGCAATAATATCAGTGAGTAATTGCAACAATAATTTTATCAATCAAATGCTTATCTGAATTGAACCCAATTAGAGAAACAAAATGACTTCTTCTATCCTATTTAAAACTGCACTTTATTATTCTTTCAGATCTCTCTGCTTAAGGAACGTCAGGCACCATTATCCCTTTTTTCTGGCCAGATCTCAGAAACCAGCAAATCTAGTGGTCCGAGCACAATTGACAACTTTTTGCAAACCAACGAGGCGTTAGAAGATGCACAGGGAAAGATCCTTAACCTTCAGAAAGAGCTTCAGGCTCAAAATGAAGAAATGCATGCCACAAATGAAGCCCTCATAATCAAGGTTGGGCCTGGTTTGCAAATGTATATGTCCCTTTGTTTGTTCATTCTCATTCCTTTGTTTCATTTAGCAATAGTGACCTGTGGAGATTCTAAAGCTATCTTTTAAAATTTTGTAAACTTTTACTGTTGAACTAGATGATAGTTTTCATTTGCTATAATGTCATCGTAAGAATGTAAACCATTTGATTCAGTTTTCGCCTACGTGGTCAGTTTCTTACATTTCTTTCTGTGATCATGTATAAATTGTCTTGCATATTTGGGGGTTTACTTTACTTTTTATTAAATTCAGGAATATTAATATTTTAACTGAACTAAAATAAGAATTATGAACTCTTTCAGGTTTTCAGAGTGTATTTGCAGAAGTGTTTTTTTGAGATTTTGATTTGATCGGCAAAAGAACAATATACAGTGCCTTCATAAAAGCTCTAATCCATACTGAGACTTTCTTTTTTTGCTCTTAAATGTAGGATTCTGAGGTAGCGAGATTACAAGTTAAAATTTCCGGATATGAAAGAGCAATGGGAATACGGCAACTTTCGACCATTCTTCCATCACAATCTCTTGTCAACCTTGATGATCCTCGAAAAGATTCCAAAATGCTTTCACCAAATCCCTATCTTTCTAGAAACATAAATAGATCTTTACATGTTGGTGATGTCTATGGAACTGATATTAGTTCAGCATTAAATTCACTCAATTGCTCCAATAGAATTCGAGAAATTCTTGAGCAATCTTCTATTCCCGTGAGCAGCAGTTTGCCCAACACTGAACAAAATGCCCATGGGGCAGGAGAGTCAGGGAATCTTCTACCGTACAGTCACTTTAAACACCCGGAGAACGAAGCTAGACCTTTGGAGCTCACAGGGCAGAATAATGATTGTGGTGATTTGGAAACATTAAGTGGAATGTTAAACTATCTCCGTAGTAAAGAGGGAAGCAATTCTATGAGAGACTCTCCTGTTAGTGATGTATCAACATTGTCCAGTGGACAGCAGAAAATAAAAGAAGAAGAATGTTCAACAAAGAAGCATGTTATTCGTAACCAATATCAGGTGGGTGCTGTTATACATGCCCTTTAAGCAGCAAATTTCTCCTCCAGATTCAGAAATAGGCTAACACACAAATGTTAAAATACACTGGTATTTGAACTTCTTTATCGCTTATAAATATTCCGAGATGTTCACCCACATGATGGGTGCTATATAAATGCAAGTTGTTAAAAGTCCACAGTCTTATTGTCACTAAATTAATTATTTTTTATCTTGTATGATTACTACTGTGTTTTCTAAGTGTAGCAGGATTGATCTGATGTTTATTGTACTGATTTTTGTATTAATGTTGTATTAATCAAAGTCAAATTAAGGTTAGAGTTACAAGTTCCTCATGATTTTCTCCCAACAGAGCAGTAATAATTATAATCCGAGTGACATGGATTTAAAGGGCCCACTCTCAAAGTCCTTTTTAAAAAGTAGTTTGCTTCAATCCCAGCAACGGTAAGTAAAAGCTCTTGGCAACGATGGCAGCATTTTTCTGCCATCATTGCCATAATTAAAACTAGCATTTTTTGGCATAGTCTTGAGTGAAAAAGGATTTGTTTGATGTCATAATTTACTCGAGTTTCCAGAGTGCTTTGACTCAGGAGGATATTCCTTCCTCTTAACTGAGGTAAATAAATACCCATGACTAGTAATCAAATACGACGTCATGGACTATATGGTCTTCTTCTGTGCATTACATTTCTACAGTTCTGAACACTAACTATTTTACACCACAGCCTAGTTTTAATAGATTTCAACAATAGTTCAATAGAATATTTAATTCATTGTACAAATTTTCAGATGTGTCAATTTTGTGATTTTTGTTTCAACTTTTCAGTATGGCTGAACTTTCTCATCAAGAGTTGTCATATGAACTTTATCAGCTGAAAATGAATGAGGATATGGGAACTAGCGGTCAGCAAACCTCTCCCCAGTAGCACCTGCATGAAAAGTAAAATACTGACATCATCTTCATGTCAATTAAACAAATGCCTTGGAGTTTCAGCGTATAAAAGTTTTCCTATTTTTATATTTTCATGCTAGTAATTTATTGTGTAAGTGGATGTTAAAAAAATGATTTATATTGGTAAATGTTTTGAACAGAGGTAAAATATAAATGTACTTCAGCAGTGAAATATTCTGAATTTTTTTCTTTGTAAAATAAACTTCTCAATTCGTATGTGTTCTCTTCCAGCTACTTTTTTTCCCCAAAGTTCAAATTCAGTGAAAAATATAATTTTGTGCTCTGTGAAATGAATGAATGTACAGGACTGCAAAAGACAATTGCAGTTGATTCCTCCAAGGTACTAACCATTCTCTTTCCATGGTAACATTAAGCCACTTCATCACTGCAGTGCCCCACTCTCAACTGCTGTTCATTCTAGTTGTTGATTACTCAGTGTGTACAGAAATACTTACAGATGTCTCATTGCCTTAGGATGGCATGGAAAGACTATATGACCCCATTTTAGTCTGTTCCTTCCATGGATTACTTGAATCCTAACCTATTGTAGTATTTGTCCTACACATGCCTGTAGGAAAAAGTTCTGCCTAGATACTACCAAAGGTAATAACAACAGTAATCCTTGCATTTCATACAGTGCCTTATCACATCATTGACACATCTCAAAGTGCTTCACAGAATATAAAATAATAAAACTCTTCCCCTTTCCCAGCATTTGGACAGATCCGAACTTAGTTTGACAATGTTCAATAATTTTCTATAATAGGCAAAATGCATAGCAATACAACAACACAATGGTTAACTCAACAGAGGTTCATCGGTCTGCAGTATGCTAAGGACAGATTGTTGGCACATCATGGAGTGCTACGATCAAAGTTTGTGTTTGCAGATCTTTGTTAAAGCAAGGGAAACAAACGTGTGAAATAAGATATCAGGAAAAGCAATTGAGGCGGATTGTACAAATGGGTTCAAGGAGCAATTGGTTTCTGTTAGCTTGATTATTTGGTGTCCGAAACCATTCTGCCCAATCTTTAGAGTCGAACATACTTCGCAAAATAAATTGATAAAACAAGTAAATAAAGAACAATACTCAGGTCCCCTACAGTTTTCAAAATCCTGTCTAGATCTGATAAAGCTCGGAAAATCTCAAGGATCAGGATTGGAAAATTCCACGCATTAACTGGCCGTGAATAAACTACTGCCAAGTTTAGATAAACTATAAAACAATTTGTCACCTGATTCCAAATTTTCTCCCCACCTCAATTCGGATCTGTCCCAAACACTGGGAAAAGGGGAAGCGTTTTATTATTTTTCACCCACAAAATACACAGTCAAACCATTTTACAATATTTTGAGAAAGTAGGTCGGTTTGGGAATTGAAGGGGGAAAGGTTATATGCCTGTTCTAAAATGCTTTGTTTTTATTCCTCGAGTTTCTAATAACTCATTATGGAGCTGCATAAGAAAAGCCTCTGATCAATAGGTGCAGATAATAGTAAAACCAAGCATGTGAAAAAGGGAACTGGGAACTTGAAGATTGAAATATACTTCCTGGAATATAGAAAGGATTAGCAGGCAATAATTTTCAACTGTTGGAAGTTATACATTAACTTCTGTTCAGAATGCAGTACTCTTATTGAATATTATATTTGCAAATGATTTGCCATATTCAGTATCATAAACTGTTGGCAGCTTGAATCTGATATTGCATTTCGTGTGAAAGTTTACTGCGTTCACTGAACTAAACTTAATGTGAGGTGAGAACAGAAACGGTAGAGGCTGCACAGTAGGATCTGAAAGAGGAAGAGGTTAATACAATAGAATACCAAATTACATTTGTAAAGCGTCTTTGATGTTGGGAGGATGTCCCAACTCAGGGATTAGGACCCGAGGTGGGGAGGGGTGTTGAGATCAAGGAGAGTGGAGGGTAGGAGGGTTGCCGAAGGAGGGAGTGGACAGGTTGATAAGGGGTTCGCAGGTCAGAGAGGTAGGAGGGTGTAAGGCCATAGAGGGCCTTGAAGGTGAGGATGAGAATTTTGAACTCGATCCACTGAGGGATGGGGAGCCAGTGGAGCTGGGTGAGGGTAGGTGTGATGGGGTCACGGAGCCTGGTGCTTGTGGAGGGAAGAGTTGTGAAGGCCGACAAGCAGGGCATTGGCATAGTCGAGCCTGGTTGTAATGCAAGCATGTATGAGAAGTTAACTTATCAGAAGAAGGAGATAAAGCCATTGAAGCCAAATATTTGACAGCTCATGCACGACCATTGATCCCTGATAGCAAGTATCCTACTGTTTCTTTCTAGTACCGATGGTAAACCAGCAGTGATATCGCCAACTATTTCCTTTATCTCAAAAGGATTTTACTGAGGCTGATTTTAAAAATTGTTAATTAACAGGGAATTAACCTCTTCGCCACCACTCTCTTTTTAATCTCCAGTTTAGCTATAGCCTTTGCAATTTTGCATTAATTTTTACTAGTTCTACACTCACACCCAAGTTAATTTTGAATTTTCCTTTATAACTCAGCAGTTTATAATCTGGAATCATCCTCATTGCTTTTCTCTGATCCGCACAATGTGTGAATGGCATGTTCGGACTTGTAGTGCAATGCACTCTAAATAGTTCTAGATCTTCATTTTCTTGTTTCACATAGTTTATGTACTTTCAAAATATGAATTAGGCGTTTGGGCAATTTTTCTCACCTACCTCCGTTAACTGACAGCTGTGTGTATTAACAGGAATGTACAAAACTGAAAAGATCACTGTGGGCTAATGGTGTGAACCACAGAGGAGTCTGAAGATAAGATCTTTCATCTGGACTAAAACAAGGAAGCAGCTAAAATGTGTGGATACAGAGGTTTCTTGCAAGGGTGGAAGAGAGTAGTAGGGCCAAACTAAGAACATACACGTTAGAAAGAAGTTAAATTAAATATCAATAATTGCAAACAGCTAACAGTCATGACCAGATCATGAAATATGAGTATTAAAATAGACATATTTCTTTCTATACAGGTAAAATATCCAAAGTAAGTATCACTGATGCAACAAAGTGAGAGCGCAGTAAAAAAAAATGAAATTGTAATACAACTCACGATATTACAGATGGGGAAGAGGCATCGGACCACAGAGAACACATTTAAATTGTATTAACGTTGAGAAAAATCATTTTTCAAAAGAATGTTTCTAGTGTTTCTGATTTTGCTAGGTTCATCTTTTCTAATCACAACCAACCTCTTTTAAAAACAAAAATCCAGTTCATTCACCCTCCTACATCAGTCCCACCTTTTATACATAGAAGGCTTTAAAAGAACCTCATTTGATTGAATTCCCCTGCCATCGCCTCCTCTCCCACACCCCTTCCATTTTGATCCTCAAAGCAGAATTCAAATATAAATTAATTTAACCACCTTTCCAGTTCATAATCTCCCTTAGTTTCTTCCAACATTAATTGAAGAGCACTCAATTATCTGGAAAAAGCCTCTTGTCCTCTAATTATATATATTCCCATTGATTTACATTTTTATCGTATTTCAGTCTTGTCTTAACTTAACAAGGAATTTTGTAGATCACAAAGTTTGCTGGTAACCCTCCAATCACTATTGTTCATTCATGTTTTAAGTGTTAGTCAATGCAGATTATAAAGATGACAGGCTTGCTTTGTTACACAGATTCAATTTATGCTTTTGAAAGGGAAAAGAGGAAATACAAGGAAAAAGATGAGTTCACAGCAGAGTCTGATCATAGGCGAGGTTGCACTTCTCTTTCAATTGAAAACCTCTGCCTCCAGTTAGTCTCATGATTTGGGTGGGTTAAAAGATCAGTGATGTGTACTATGAGGCAATTTAGCGTGGAATCATAAAGACTGGAACCAGATCAAGAAAAGATTTAATATAAATATATTCTAGGTTTTTACCCTGTCTTCACTCTACCTATAGCTTCAAGTGTTAAATAAGTATTGAAACATTTATTTAGTATGATAGTGGTCTTTAATCTTGTGTTCATTCCCACCCACCCCACCTGTCCAACTCACTTTTGTTTAAAATATGGTGGCAATCCTTTGACAACATTGTAAAAAATTTTAAAACTTGCTTTTGTAAACTGTCTGTCTTTTAGCATATTTTATTACAGATCAATAATTGGTTGCTGCAGAAGAACTCCAGATGAGTACATAATGATTCAGCAATGACTCAGAAGGCTGATCCTTTAGAAATAGTATTTTTTTAGAACAGAAGGCAGCCATTAGATTAATTGTGCTTGTGCCAAGTTTCTATAAGAGTTATCTATTTAGCCCCACTCTTCTGCTTTCTCACCATTCCCATAAACTAAATTTATCCTCATCGTATTGATTTGGGCTTGCTTTGTGTCCTCCGCCCTCAGAATTAGCAGTCAAGCTTTCAGTCTACTTAACCCGACTCTCCGGAACACAATCGTGGAATCCCTTCAACTCATTACTTCCCACACTCTGCTCAAGGTCTGCCTCAACACCTACCCCTTTTGGCCATTTTTAGCTCCCCACTCCCAAGTGAGGTGCTAAGACAGGATCGTTAAGAGCCTTGGTACAATCTCCTGACATCAAAGACACTATATAGATACTTCAGGTCTCTCTCCCTCTGGATTAGGGTCTAGATCCAACAAAGTTTAAGACTATTAATGCTTAAGCAAGACCAATCAAAAATACGATAACAGCAACAACAAGATTACATTTGTATAGAGTCTTTCATGTCAGGAGGATATCCCAAGGCCCTACACAGTGTACAGCACTTCCGGACCCGAGCTGGGGTCAGGGGTGGGAGAAGGGAGGGGAAGGGGGGTGGCTGATGGCATAAGCCTTAACTGGTAAATGAATTGTGGCTTATTTGTACTAACGATAAGGGATCTGTTGCTGTAGACTAAGTGACTTGCGTTCCTATAGCAATACTAAAATGAGGCAACGTATGATTTCCTTATTTGCACTGAAATGCATGCTGCAAAACTCTGCAGTATGCATTAAATGTTTCTCAGCATTATTGAGTGAAACCATTGCTAATATTCTTGTACATTAATTCAATCAAGAAATTTCTTTCCAAATTTAAATACTGTAATGCTTTCATGTTGTCTGATATCTGTGAATAAAGTAATTATATTGTACTGATAAAAACTGCAAAATGTGATAAGTTCACTCCATGGTTTTTATTTTTGAGACTGCTTCCTTCATTAATTCTGTCAAAAGCCAAATATTGT